AAATTACGACGAAAATATCTTTGTCATTGCTTAAGTGATCTAGTTAATTTGCTTTCCTGTGCGATTTTCACGAAATACTAATAATTTTGATGGTGGAGATTTCGTTCACTTAGAAATTGTCTGATGGGATTTTATTCAAGACACATCACACTCCTGCTAACTGGGAAGATGTCAAGACGAGTTGCTTACTGGTGATATAAAAAGCTACCACGTACCGGGGATCTGTGACACACACACACACACACACACACACACACACACACACACACACACACACACACACACACCCTCGTCAACAATAAACAGAGAGAATTAAAATGGAACTCTCTCTTTCCCTGGCCATTGATATCCTTTCTCTATCCGTAATGATAATGCGAACAAGAGTCATTTGTTGTACAGTATGTATGGGAGTTGGTTTACGTTAGGGTGTAGTTGAAACAGCCAGACTTTGGTAGATAGTGTATCTGTTAATGCTTGAATACTGTATATGGTTGATCAAACAAATAACCAGAGATAAATATGTTTACGACGATTACAAATGAAATGGTGTATATTAAAATAAATTTGACATATTCGATACCTATCAAGTTTACTTGGGGAATAGAAGTCAATCTTTTGTGTACTGTAACCTTGACCACTGATCGACGGTAGGTGAGTATAGTCAGCGCAGTACTCGACTTTTTGTATAGAAACCTGTGTGACAGAACGATGACTGAAGGATAGTAGCGCCAGATATTCATCTCATAAAATCCAATTTTATTCTACTCGCCTTGTCAATAAAATCCACACAAGCATCCCAGGTGTTCATATCTGTCAGACCCAGTGACGATGGTACTAACTCGTACTGTAAGTTAGGAGTGGATGATTCGTGCTCAACGGGTTAACAGAACATCGCGAATCTTAATTTGGTGACTTTAGTTTAGTATATCAAAACCTCCATGTCACCGTAAAACGCACAATTCAACAGAGAGAGTCAAGGTAAAACCAAAAGAGGTTTACATAAGCCAGACAACCACACTTGGCCACGCCCACTTCCATTCCTCTTCTTCTGTGCTCCATTCCAACTCTTATACACTCGGCTGCACTTACTCCACTCTTCCTGCTTGGGGTACTGTGGGAAACACATGGCACTTCCGTTATTACAACAGCATGTGGTCGATGATTCAACTTGTTTACACCGGAAGTGGCCATACGGGACTCCACTGAGGATAACTTTGTTGTTCACCCTCTACACGACGAGAATGCACCCGAGATGTGTGTGTGGATTTTATGGAACAGAACTTGGTTGGGTTTACATTTGGACAGCTAATGGCGCTGAAAAACAGATAAACTTACCAAGACTGTTAACACATTGACCAGCTTATAAAAAGTTTTTAGCTGTCTCAGCGCCTCATTGAATATCACGATTGACTGACTAGCTCACAGAACTTGTTCAACAACTGTACTAACACACAACGTATGATTACTTCTTGATGTGAATAAATACCACTGTAATAAAAGTAACAGTACAGTACTGTCAGTTCAAACATAACTCAGCAAATAAGTAAATTTCAAAATTGTTAATGAAAAAATTATGAAACCACAAATACTGTGAACTGTACCTAGAACAGTTACAACAACTATTTTCAGCCAGTCACCCATCATGGCTCGAAAAATCATATTAACGGTCCCGTCCTCAACTGAAGACGGCTACTATCCGTCAAGCAGCAGTTAACGAGCCAACAGTGATGCTTGGATTCTTCAAGGTTCGTACTTTAATTTTTCCCTTAACTGGGACTGGCGGAACGTATCTAGTTGTTGTAGAATCTCAATATAGTTTTGAAATATGAACCTTTGATAACCCATCTATGTATCGTGGCTATAATAAGTTGGCTAGACGCGACCTTATAAGTTATAAAACAATTTAAGTGAGGCACATAGCTGCTCTTACATCACCAACCAATATTTCTTTTTATCTTACGCCCCTCTGAGAATTTTCTTGCTACAACAGTTAAGGTAAACGGTGTCGGGTACCTGTGACTCGCCTTAATTAATGTACTGATGACGTCAGTGAAAACGACACGAAGTCAGCGAACTGTAGAGAAACTAATAGCGTTAACCTGATACTGTTATGGTGTGCTGGTCGAGGGATAAACTCTCTTTGGCGAAAAAAAAAATCTGGGCAAAATTCCCACTGGCGATGATACAATTGGACAGTTTCCTCCCGGACAAAATTTCACCCACTAAAATAACAAAAGATTAACCTAACCTCGACCAGTTTCTTATTTTGCTGGTGTGGTTTTGTCTGTTAACGTGATGCGACTGAAGGTTGTAGTGATGATAGTTTTGTCCAGTGGAACTGTCGAAGGAAGTTTTATTGCGTTAAAACTTGTCCGATGGGATCTTGTTCGGAAAGAATAACAGTAGCGTGAGATTTTATTTAATGGCCAATTGCCCGGTGGAATTCTTTCCCGTGAAATAAAACATTGCTTGGTGTGATATGATCGAGTAGTGGGTCATTGTGGGTCACCCCGTAGAAATCTGCCCCCATGCACCCTTCTCCCTTCACACCCACACATAGTTTCTCATACTGTCACTTTCACTCTTCACACTTCCTGTCACACTCATACAAGGATCTTATACTCCCAGCACGTTTAGTAATGAATAACTCCCATAGTTTTTTCTTGCCTTCTAAATGCGAGAACTTACTGTATGCATAATTGCTTCACTCCAAAATTACTATGACTCCTAATGCACATAGTTGACGCTTGAAAATCCATCAGATAACACCGTAAGTAAACCACACTGATACAATATTACACGGGGAATTTAACCTTAGTGTTGTTAAGAATGTGAGATGTAGCTACGTTATTATTCTTGTCATCGTTGGTGCTAGTCACAAAGAAAATAACTATCATTATATCCTCCAAGTTCTTACTTTATCGATGTCAAATTTATTTTCCCTCAAATTGTTTATTGAATCCATGTAATAATACACTTTTAGACTTGAATTTATATTCCATACGTGGTTAATATTCCACTTTAGACATGACCAATATATTTAGAGGTAAATACCCGCTTAGAAGCTGCTTACTCTACCTGATGATCAAGGTAAGTGGGAATGTAATCAACATTTATTTTCCCTCGTCTGAAGTTACCTAGTGAGTGTAGTGAATTCTGGCAACACTAGATAATGTTAGTGTGATTTAAATTCTAACACAAAATTCAATGACAAAAGTCTAAATTCTACTATAAATGATTAAGAACCACAATTCTTCTCCACATAATAGACCGCCAAATAACTACGTTCCTCGAGGGTGAAGACGAAGATAAAAATCGTTGGAAAATAGTTGGGTAGTTATCAGACCACCAAGTAATTTCTGCAACCCCTCCTCCTCCTCCTCCTCTTACTCCTCCCCCCTCCTCCTTGCATGACTTTCAACTCTAGCCTTCACCTGTGAGCGTAACCTTTGACCTACTTTCCCCAGGAATAAATTCGATTTTCCAAGAGCAACGTTAGCTTAGTGTGTCAAGATTCACATACGAATCCAAATGGGTCGTAATTTTTTTTTGAGATGCCCTGCTCACACACACATACACACATACACACACACACAGTAAACCCAATATTATTACCTTTAGCAGACCAGTTAATATACATAGTCATCAATCATCATTTCACAAGGCAAGGTTCCGTGAGTACAGTGGCATTCACCCTATCGAGAAAGTGCTGTTCTGGTAATCAGTGCTGAACAAAGGGATCACGCTAATATTTGGCATCCCAACTTATTTCACCTCAAAATTAACCATCCTTATGCTAACCTAACCTTACCTAATTTAACATAGCATAACTTAATCTAATATAACTGAAACTAATATAATTTAACTTAACCCAACTCCCCCAGGTTACACTAGGGGGTTTAATTAAGTGAAATAAGCTAGTAGGTAGGAGGCAGCTATCAAACAGGGAGGTACTACCGCCTGGGAAGATATTGGAAGCATGTGTGTTGTCTAATGGTAGACCCTGCTGCCGTATGGCATCACGAAAATTGTGACCAAATCCCAGGTTGCTGATCTGACTTTCTGCCTCATTTCATTTGCACACAATTGCAGGGTCTCAATTGTTTCTCTTACTATTAACAACACAACATACATATATTGTTTCTCACTTTTTTTTATTTCTTTATTACTATTGCAGTGTTATTATTATTATTATTATTATTATTATTATTATTATTATTATTATTATTATTATTATATTATTAATTCATTATTTTATTTTAAAATGTGTATTTTTGTATAAATTTTAATTATTATTATTATTATTACTATTACATTTTCGCCCTCCAGGCCCTATGTGGGTCAGTGACCTGTGCCCGGGTGGGTTAATCCCCGTAAAAAAGAAAAGAAAAAAAGTTTTTACGTGATCCGCACAGGCCACTCTCACCTACTGTAAGTTTTCCCGGCTTGATGTGATCTACTCGTACATGAAGAAATATTTGCCATCCATTTACTCCCGTACACAATTTTTTTTATCAGTGTTAATCGTTTTCTTCACTCAGGGAGGCCACATTCTGCAATTATGTTGTTTACACTTGAGCAGACTGGGGAGGGATGAGGCAGCCAGTCACGTGAGAGTGAGGGCAGTAGGCTTTAGCACACGGTGGGGGGGTGTGGGTGAGTGAGTGCAAGCTGCTCTATAACTGCTTGACATCATCTCTCAAGCATCAATACTGCTACAAATATCGTAGATGGAGACACCAAGCTCTTAACCTACTGAGCCAAGATTGGTAGGCCAGGCGGTTTACAGTTAACACTTGGGTTTAGCTGTTCACTGCATAAAGCGACAATGAAAATATCTGGCCAGTGAAGAAACTTTCTGCAGTGCCTTGTACTGTATATGTTTGTGTGTGATTACTATTATATTTATTATTCTTGCTGATTATTTTTCAATAATATTTATATTTTTGTTGCGGTTATGAATATTATTATCATTTACTTTTTATCCGATTATTTTATAGGGCATGATCAGTGATGCCATCGCCTCAACTCCGCTAAAGTAGGCAACGCTTCCACAGGAGGCACCTAAAGCCTTACGGTGCAACATCTAGTGAAGCCTCGCAGTGTACCATCTAGTGAAGCCTCACAGTGTATCAATAGTGAAGCCTCGCAGTGTACCAATAGTGAAGCCATACACTGCACGCCCGAGAGGGGTCAGGTTAAATCTGGTTCACAACATCCGGAAAACAGCTAAAGAACAAATGTGTGGTGCTCACTAGTTACAAGTTTTCAAGTGTGGCCGCCAGGGGGTTGATGGCCGCTGTCACCTCATCTCTCACTAATGATATAATGAGGCTAGAGAGACATTATTGCGCGCCATCTTAAAATAACAGTTTTGGAGTGATGTTATTGTCACTGCCTGTATAAGAAGTAATTCTAACTTAACCTAAGATACACTGTTGCAGAGCCAGAGGTTATGGCAAGTGTATAAAGCTCAGTTTAAGTGTGCAGTATTATTTCGCAGATAAATTTTTATATTTCTATACATCGTCACCATTATTATTTGAACGTTCTATAACTGAACATAAAAAAGTTTATAACAAATCTTAATACAAGAAGAACTATCAGCACAAGTTATGCAAAGTATAATATTACTAAGTGTTACCTGGCAGAGTCAAGAGTGGTGGTGGCGTGAGGTGGTGGTGTCGTCCTGCACCGCTCACGATCACACGTCGAGTTGACCACCGCCACAAATTCCTTCAGTGTGTCATTTCCCGGAGGTTAGTGCGGGTGGTGAGAAGTCATTGCTTGTGGTGCCTGCCAGCACTTATTGTGCACGAGGACGGTGCCTGAAATGTGAGTTAGTCCTTCATATATAAAGGCTACGGAGTGATGTAATTAAGTTTATAGTTTGATTACTGAAGTTTGGGTCGAAATACTGTGACTTAAGAAATTTTGGTGAATTGATGTGTTCGTGAGGTATGTGAAGACTGACCGGTATATGTGTGTGTAGGTCAGCAGTAACAGAACCAACACACGTGAACCACAATTACCTTCAACAACAGAAGATCATCACGTGGGTAAGGAATCTCGCCAAGACTCCATAAGGGTCACGGCCTGCCAGGGACCTTCAAGACTATGAACCCAGTTAGCTACAAAAACCAGTGGTCTTCAAGAGCAGCCAGAAACCGAAGCTCCTCGTGACTTGAGTTATATTTAAGCTTTAAGGGATCATCATGCTGAACTCTGGAGCCCTCGTCTTGCTATGCCTGGTATGTTATGCTGATAATAAGTTTCTACACCAAATAGTAAATATTAATATTTTAAAGGTGAATGTGATGAATGTGAGCAAACTACTTGTTAATAAATCACATTAATGTATACAGTAATAAGCTTTGTGCTGCCTCATTATTATTATTAATACATAACCGTATTTTAGTTTCAGTTACTGTAGTTGTTTCAGTAATCAATGCGCGAGTCAGTCAATACATACAGATACTCTTGGTAAAAATTTAATGAAGTACAACTTATTCTCCTTGTCTCTTTCCCAGGACAGGTTTATGAATTAAATAAATTTTTCCCCCAGGTGGTGGCAGCAGCATGGGCGAATGGAGATGTGTATGTCCACGATGGTGAAAGTAAAAGTACTGGTGATGGTAATGGTGGCGGAAACGTTCAGGATGGAGGATTGAACGTTGAGCATGTTGGACGCCTGCTCACTGATGCACCGACCAGAACCTCATGTGAGACCCTCAACTCCCTGATGGGGTGTGTGTCTCCAGGTCCCCCCGCACCCCATAGTGATGCTCACCTCCAGGGGTGCCAAGGTTGTGAGGGAGACAATAGTCGTGTAGAGGCCCCTAAAGAGTCAGAGGAAACACAGACTCTTGTCTTAGTCATGAAAGATAGTGAAAATAAAACGAAATATGATAAAGAAGTTTTTACCGAAAATACCACGGGATCAGGGGAGAAGGGACGGTTACTGGACAAGTTATTCATCAGATGTAAAAGGACGGGAGGGAAATGTTCACTGCGGAGGAGAAGAGAAGCAGAAGAGAAAAGGACGGTTAGTGAGGAAGATAATGAGGGAGGCGATATGGCAGAGGGGGGAGAAGAACTACCTGATCCAGAGGCCTTGGCTTGGATAGACCCTGGACGATTGGCCAGTCAGGGAGTGGCCATGGAACATGTCCCGTCTCTGGCTAATCTAATGGGGCTGCGGATGGTAAGGTACAAGACGCCGCAGCCTCGGCCCCTCCACCCGCCATATAGGCCACAACCGCACCCTCTTCACCCACCCAATAGGAATCCTCAACTCCCTGCTTCATCCACAAGCAACATCAAGGTAGGCCCCTCACCGAAACCCGCCTCCAGGTTAAACAGTGGAAACGATCTCTTTGGAAACTCATTCCATGATTCTTTTGACCGTTATTTCAAGAGTTTCAACAGATATGAAGGGCAGGATATTCGCCGCAGCAACAGCCACACTCGTCCACCTGTTGAAGGCAGCAGCTACAGCTACCCTCCTCCTCGTGGTAGTTCACCATCACCACCTGCTCCCTCTCCACCCAGGTTTCAAAATGGTGCCAGTCGTGCACAGCCGCCACAACCCCAGCCAATAGACAGCTTCTCTAGGCCAGCATACTCCGGCCTGGGCAACACCGCTGACTCCATTATGAAGCTTCTGAATCCCTTTAATATACTCGGACCAAACCAGTTCCCTCAGCTGCCTCGCTTTCCCTACCCAGTACCCCCTCCCAACTATGATCCACGTAGACCTCAGTCTTTCCAACGCTTGAGGCCAACAGATCCCTTGGGAACTGAAGAGAAGGAGTTTCCTCAAGAAAACATAAAATACGAGGTTGTGATGGACCCTAATCAAGACGCCTACAGGGGATACCAATATAAAAATGACTTCCCGCTTAGAGACGATCTGTATGTCGGCCAAGACGGAAATATCTACTTGAAGAGTGTTGAAAATGCATCACCACAAAACCCCTTTGGACGACAACACTTTGGAGGTCATGGTAGACCCGCCCACAGCTTCCCACCTCCTCACAACCCATCACACTCAACTTCTCCCCGCCCACACCACACTCGACCAATATCTCCACAAGAGGGGCGGTTTGAAGACGAGGAGCTGGACAACATCGACCAGGACTACGATGACGATTACGAAGAAGTGTCCAGTTACTCCAGCCTCCTGCAGAACCACAACATGAACGACATTGATCTTGACCCTCCAACAACCCCCATCAACAACCATAACCCACACCAGTTTAGGAACAGTCCTTCTCCCAGACCATACAGAGATCACAACAACTTTGACCAGCGTATCCCACATAATGGTCGCAATCCAGGAATACCAAATAATCCATATGTAATTCGCACACCACCCAACTTGTTTCCAAATTCTGGTCTGCTTAGTTGGTTATTCCCTTCTTATGCCCGCACCACCTATCCAAACTTTTTCTACAATCCCAGAGAAGTCCAACTTCCCCGATTCAGATATCCGGTGGGACCCTGGCCACGTCAGACCATTTCTCCTTCAGTTGGGACACCATCTGATGCAAATTATCCAGGAGCACCAAATCCACCCACCCACCCGCGATCCCTACCACCCAGCTCATTACCCTCTCGACCCCTACCTCTCCCTTCATCACCCTCCAGACCCTCATTTAGAAACCCATCTCCTCCTCGACCCCCAACATCACCCCTCTCGCCTATGCAATCCTTACTACCTAACCCATCTCCCCGACCCCAGCGACCTCCTCTGCTTCCTCCCCGACCCTCGCTATATAACCCTTCACCTCTCCGCCCATCTCTGCATCCCTCTCTAGGTCAACCCTCCAACCCACAGCTGAACAATGCTGCCCAGGGCATAAACAACCGGCCAAGAGTAATTTTTGAAGGTGGGCGTGTGAAGAGCTCTGGTTTCTATCCGGGTAATGGATTCTTCGACTCTGATTTCCCCACAGTATTCCACATGGCCCCATCTCAGCAAAACAGAGTAGTCGAACAGTTACCCAGACCCATGGGCCAAAATGCAACAGCACCAACCAATGAGACTTCAACATAAGAAGACTTGTGGCGTGTGTTTACGTGTGACACAGACTCGATCAAAATTTGTGAGGTTTACCTTGATGAATGCAAGTGAACTAGTCAGGTTTTCCTTCTCGTGTAAGGATAACTTGTGGTAATAACTCAAAAGCTGTTGACAAAAGAATAACACAGGTGAAATACAAACTCAGTCGCCGTTCCAAATCAGTGTACAGTACTGGAGGTGGTGACTGAGGTGGTTATTTTGGTATAATAATCTGAAAGGTGACTATTAAGACCGTTTCGTGCTACATTCTGGCTGCGGTGCTGGCTTTATATAACCATGTTGCTTGTATGTTTTATAGAAATTTAGGGTGTATGTATCCACTATGCAGTATCTCTTGCAGGGACTCTGGAATTATCATGATGAAACACTACATGAAAACACGGCTTTAACTAGCTGCTTTGAAAGCTATAGATCTCCGGCAGGTCTATGTACAGTGAGTTCGTTTTCTTGTCCTCCAGTCTACAATGAATCAAAGGAAAAGTGATGTATTGCATACAGCTGTGAGATGAATGTTTCCACTGCACTTGCATGCTTGCTTCATGTTATAAAATTATCTTGAAAGATTTACCCGGTAGTTTGGACGTTGTATGTCAAACTCACTTGTAATTACAAGAGGTATGATGACTTCCTGCATCAATTTTTTTTCGATGTTCAGTCTTGGAAGTGAAAGATACTGAATTTAAATGAAATCACTCAGTCGTGATGGTTTTGACAGTAACTTTACCAGCTGGCCAACAGTGAATTGATGAGTAGTGGTTTAGGCTGTGACTTTTTTATGGCTGTATAAGTGAAAATATGAACTTAAATCTGTATACAGGTACAATATTGAATTTGTTTTGTTCATTGAACTTATCATCATCACAGTTTTTTCTGGTGAAGAATTATTTGTCGTATCAATAAATGGAATTGAATGTAACCAGGTGAAGTTAGTCGGGGTTTGGCAATACATTTTCCTCTATCAGTTATTTCTCTGTAAATTACATAATAGTTTCCCGTAATGATTTAACGTTAAAAATATATTTGCAGTACGTTGTTTTTCCCACTATGTGTGTTGTTTGGTTGTTTTTCCAAGTTATATAAATGTATACGTGCTATTTATGTTCATGTGATGTGAATAAAATGTTAACCAAAAATATTTGTTTGGTGAAAGGGGCCATGTGGAGGTTTACTGAAGTGCTGTTATGTGTGCTAAATACATGTCAAAGGATAACCTGAGTTGCTTTATTAATTGCAGCAAACTGTTTATGATATCTTTTACAGTAAACTTTTGATTGAGCTTCATAATCAGGTGAATATGTTATAGACACCCTGTACATTAAATGAATTGATTCTGAAACTTACTATCTGCTAACAATATACTGCTGAACATGCTGTACTGTATTACTGTTGTTGAGGACTGTTATGTTGTGGAGGGGTTGGTGGCGTTAAAAATGAACCATTACCACAAACAGTCTGTAACACTAGAAAATTTTTAAAAGAATTATCCATTTTAGCCCGTCTTCTATAACTGGTGAGAGGAGTTTTTCGACAGTGATCCACATAAAGATTACTGTACAAAAGATCAACACTGTGACAAGATTGATTGAATGGTCAGCCAAAGCTGTGTAGTGTACTTACCATGCCATATCAGGTGACGACAAGAAACAGATTTCATTGGTAATAGTCTAATAGACATATTTTCTCAAAGTAAATAGATGAATGGATTTTGTTACTTAACTGCTTGCTTGCTGAGTAAAATTCAGTGATTTATTACATATACTGATGTTTTTTTTAATGTAGCATTTAATATTACTGAATGTTCTTAGTTATAACTTTACTACAATACAGTTTATGATTAACCAAGGATTCTGTGCTGGTATGGAAGCCTTGGCCTGATCTAACCTTATGAATATCATCCAGTTGTACAGTATGTATGTACCTTACCGACTCTTGGACAGAAAAATATATCAAGAGTGAGAAACGATATGCAGTGCAGAAAATATGTTGTGTTGTCAACAGTAAGAGAAACAATTGAGACCCTGCAATTGTATGTAAATGAGGCAGAAAGTCAGATCGGCAACCTGGGACTTGGTTACAATTTTTGTGATGCCATATGGCAGCAGGGTCTACCATTAGACAACACATTATGTTTACAATATCTTCCCAGGCAGTAGTACCTCCCTACTTGATAGCTGCCTACTACCTACTATACATCAAAACAAAGTGGCTTCTTAGCCAACCCAGTACTATACTGGACATCTACCACACCTAATCAACACTTGTCCTTCTGGTTATAGAGTATGGTACTTTGTTGTATACATGAGCAGAATATCTCATAAAAGAGGAATTTTTTTTTTAAGGTGCCTACCCATTGGGTTGGGATTTTTAGTTCTCGGTAAAATTCAATTAAGGATTAAGAACATGATTCAATATCTTAGGGACCTTGAGTTTGGCAATGTTTTTCACAGCTGGGCTATTGGAAGTAGTCCGGCAGTGAATCCTCTCGCCTGTGATTACTAAACCCACAATAACTTCGAAGCCTCTGTGTAACTGATAGTCCAGACAGTAATCAAATCTCACTAATGAGGAGCTAAATTTAGGTGAAGCCTGGCAACACCCCATGTTCAATAGTATGTCTTACCTTGCCTAAAATGATGTTGTTTCTTCCCTGGCCACCACACAATCCATGTGCCATATATTACTTTTGCTTTTATCCTCTTAGCCACTGATCGGTCTGTTAGCTGCTTGGGCAGTCGGTCACGTCTCTGTTACGCACGGTTGGGAAGTACTGGGCATGCACCGGCTCCTGAATGTATCTGAACCTGCACCAGTATTGGTCTTGATGGAGCTCACACTCGGTGCCGTCATAACATTCTGGCAGATTGGGTTGTCTGTTTCTTTGAAATATTATGTTCACATACACACATGTCAGCACCAACATGTACACACAAACAGAAACAACGACTGCTTTAATATCTACCGGTACATTGCTATTTAGGGCTTGGATATCTAAGTTTTACAAATTTCAGGAGAGCAAAGTTAAGAAAAAATTTTTATCAACTGTTTTAATTATAAAAAAACAGGTAGATTTGTAATCACAATCAAAACAGTTTTGAAAATAAATTCAAACCTATAGGTGTAATATTTCAAACAGTTGCCTGGTAACCTTTACGTAGCTGACAAATTACAATTCTGTAAATTACAATTATAAAGGCAACGTACAACCCTTCAAGGTTTACCACGAACTTTGATCGCAATAAAACTCAGCACTATAGCAGCAGCCAGCGCTGTCATTACTCCAACTGTAGGTAGCAGCCAACTTTGTGGGGCCTCTGGAGGTGATGCTGATCCAGTAGAATACGACCGCTGGTGTTTGGGTTGTTTTGACTTTAAAAGTGGTCTTCTAGGGAAGCAGCACTGTGAATGATCTGTATTTTCCTTAGACTCAATACCTGAAAGAAGATATGCATACTTGATCATGGGGAGATATATGTAGAAGCAGAACAGAAATAATAACAATTTTCTTATCTTCATTTAATTCTCTAGTGGTATATTAATTCTTGATTCAGTAAAAATGGTGTGACAATTACTTAACTGAGGTGAAAAATTTATTGATGAAAAATTTATTGATAGCAGTTGAACACACTGTCAAACTGTTTTGACAGTCATTAGATTACAACCTTTTGACCCCAGAACTTTAAGCAGAATGGAGAGAAGTACCAATACATTAAGTTCTCTTTTTTGTGTAGTGGATACATTCCTATAAAACATGACGTTCTGTGAAACAATGTACTCGTATATCAGTAAAGTACCAGAACTGAAGCACACTTCCTCATGAACTCACATTATAAGAGATGAGACATGTTCCTACAAATAATAATAATAATAATAATAATAATAATAATAATAATAATAATAATAATAATAATAAAATAAACATCTTAAAATGCCACAAAATGTTACAAAACATAATTTTAATGACACTTTTTTGGTAAACACAATGATGCAATACAGTACAGTTGCTGTTGGTCAACTACAGAAAGTGCAGTTATTTATGGACTCAGTTGTAGCTGACCTATCCTGCACATTACTTGTCTGAGGCTGCTCATTATGGGACCTGCAGGCCTTACTCACCATAATGGCATCATCATTAGTCCAGTGCAGGAACAATTACTAAATTTAAAATTATGACAAAGTGTTAATTACCAAATGATGTTTCCTTGGCATTATAGTAATAACGATTCTCATCCTTCGATTTTTCCATAGACAACAGCTGGAGGCCACACACTGTTTGACAACCAAAATGAAGGTCGAGATGCTGCTTGTAGCATGAAGGGTCTATCCGTCGTGTAGTAGGCTGCAAATTAGAAATAAAATTTAATTTGAAGCGATTTTTTGTCGCTTCATTCGAAGGAAGCAGCATGAACATTTTACCAACTTATTTCACACTTGTGTGGGTTAGTTGCAATTACCAGATGGTAGCTGTTGGGTAAAACCAGAATAGGACCCTCCCTCCCCCCACTTACCACTGCTAACCTAGGGCACCAGCCTAGAAAATGCAGCAGAGACCAAGGCACAGCTCTGGTGATCTGGTTGCCATCAGGCATGTTGAAGCAAAGTTTTACAGCTGGACGCCCTTCCTAACACCAACCCACATGGTGGGAACAGCTGGCAAGGCAGGGTCGCAACTCCTTAAGGTAATCAAAGACTATCCGCCTACTTTAGTCATATGACAAAAAAAATAAGTCAATAAATAAATCATTTACCCATTCTAATAACTCATAAAGCAGAATGAATGCCATTCCTGTAAAATAATTACCACAGAGCATAACTGAAAACTCTATTATCAGCTCCAGAAATAATCTCTCCTCTAAGCATTTTAACTGATCAAAATGTATTGTGCTATCTATTAGTCCAAAATACCTGTAATCAATATTGGATTAAACATATTTTGCAGCATCATGCTCATAAAACTGGATTATACTGTACAGTACATAGTAATGGATTTATCCTATTACTGCATCATTACATGTAATGTAATGTAGTTCCACTTGCACTGAAAAAACTAACCTTGCCTTTGACACGTGATGCTTTAGATAACTTTGATATTGTGAGGTGAGGATTCAGAGCTTTTGTATCTGGCATACACACACCCTTCTCTGAAAACACATTCCGCACAGACTCTGCAAACTTCAACAGCCGGTGGTACTCCTCATCCTCTACCAGCTGTGCAAAAACAACCTGCAAGGCAACAGGACACACTGTCAATGTTCACCAGTTGGCTTTACCTATTGCAAGAAGTCTATCTCCAGGCAGGACAGAGCAGATCTCCATAGAAAAATTAAGCAGCACTTGCCAGAAGCTCAACTGACTCTTCCCTAGTGCACTGAAGACCTACCCTTAATACACTACCATAAACATACAATACATATTTCAACTCTTTCCTTTTAAACTTATTTTAATTCTATGAAAGTCCACTACTAACCTGGTTTGAAAAATTGCTCACTCCTGAGAAAGTCAGCAATATTGGCTTGGCACGAACTTCCTCCATCACCCTGCTACAGCACTCCTCCACTGCTGACTGGGCACTGTCACAATGATCACAATCAAAGTACACTCCGTATTTATTTAAGATGCACAGAACACCGAGAGCTGGGACAGGCAGATCAAAACAAGCTGAGACAGCCAATCAAAAATCATGCTGGACTACAGACATTGTTGGACCACAGGGTGCAGGTTAAAGAGGGTCGATCTGTCGGAGATATTCTCTGCCAACTTTCAAACTCATCCCAGCTCTTAGGTAGAGACTGATTCATACCAATTATATTTGAAATTCAATCACATTTAGTATAATACAAATGAAGAGACGGTAATGATGGACAGACAGAAATTTCTACAAAAATGTAAGTGAACTTACACTGTGAGTGACTCCTCTGTGTCTATGTGGGCAACAAGAAGTGTGAGGTGAGAGGTGGCCACATCAACAAAACTTCTGGCCAGGAACTCATAAGATGCCATCATGTCTTCCTGAACTTTGACAATTGCCTTATGAATCTGTGAATATATATATACTGTACTGTATAGACTTGTATATTATATGTACAGTATCAGTTAATAACAAGAAATAATAACCAATTACCCCATGAATAAGCTAATAAGAGTACTGTACTGTACTCATAATACAATGGTAATGATAATACTGAATAATAATAAAAACTAATTGCAATAAAATAGGTCAGCAAGAACAATATACAACAGACATAATCACCAATACAGTATGCACATTTATGGGCCAGAGGGACTAATAAAGTACCCGGTACAGTACTGTACCTGTACAATATAAGGTTCATTCAGGCGGTTTAACTTTGTTTGGGAGGAATGAAGCAAACAAAGCTGGTGAAGATACAGTAAAAGATATGCATAAGAATTTATAAAATGTACATACATGGCCCAGTCTCCATAAATGGTGGTCACTTTTATTACATTTATGGTAAGTCTCGTTTTCTCATAAATATGATAAAAGTGGCCACCATTTATGGTGACTGGGCCATGTATGTACAGCTGTTTCAGTAAATCCAATTTATTTTATACTGTAATACAGTACAGTACTGTATCTATGAACATGAGACACATGGTCACTTCCCTTGCACCCTTAATAACCCATTAGACCCAACCCTTATCAACAATAATGTAGGAGAATTCTGAAACATCTCCAGCAGTTGACAAAGGATTTCTCTACCATATACAACCCCAGACAACTATTCACGATGATATGACACCATTCATCACTCAAATCTACAGACGTGTGTAACCACACTCTTTAACATCTTTAATAATTCAATATAACACGAGTGCGTACGTATAGTATAGCACGGAATAATACTATATAATGCTCGACCACCTATATATCATTGTACAGTATACAAAATGAATGGTAATAATATAAGAGTGTAGCTATAACTGTACATTGGTACGTATTGTACAAAAGAATAAGTCAAATTATGCAGACGAAAATTATGTCAAGAATAATGGTAATTACATATATACCAGTACATGGAACTTAAAAGAATGACATCGAATATAAGAAAAAGAAACAGGTAAGAGTGATGGTACAGTACTCACATCAGCATTAGTGACCTGTATCGCCAAGAAGTAGTTAGCTCGCACGTTCTTGCTCTTAGTCTCCTCTCCATCAACACTGTCCACAGCTTTTTTTCCTTGCTTCTTCCAGTTCTTCCTTTTTCGCTCTTTTGTTCGTTTCCTTTTATCCTTTTTAGTACTGGACACAATTTCTTCAGTCCCATCAAGAATTTTAACGGCATCAATAAGAGTCTTGCTTTCTTTAGCTTCACCATCAGGAAGGACCTGACTACTAGTTAATGACTCACACTCGGTCTCAAAGACACCTGATGAAATATTTTCACTTTCTCCCCAGGAAAACTCTTGGTCCAGACTATCTCCTGACACACTCTTGCTCAGTGACAAGTTTGAACCACTCATCCCAGGGAGGCTTGTTAGCATCTTGTGGTAACGTGTGTCAGCAACCTTAACACTAGGATGTTCAGGTGTAGTGTTATAGGAGCTTGTACCTGTGCTGGTTATGTTTGAACAAGCCACTGCTGGTTCTGAGTTGAGTTGGTTACATTCATGTGTATTACCCTCTACTAATCTATCATTAAGTTCACTCTTTCCTTCACTATATTCAGATAAACCTCTTGCCTTACAGGGAACTGTAGTAGAATGTAAATATTCTTCAGATGGTTGAAAAGAGCTGTTGAGACTTTGTTGAGACTTTTTGGGTGGAGGACTCGTGGTAGAACCTGTAGTTGAATCCCTTTCTCTCTGTCTTTTTGGCTTACAAGTTGAAATGGTTTTCATTTTCTCTTCAACGTCCAGAGTCTCACTGTCACATTCACTCTCCATTGCCCTTGTAAGAAGTGGCAAAAATGAAAATTGATTGTTTTGCAAGCCAGAAATCTCACGTACAATTTGGAATTGTTCAGGGTGCCTTGGGTATTTCAAGGTATATGATGCAATACTCCGTAATGAGTTAATAGTTTGACTGCACTTTAATCCAAAATGCCAATCTACTGGTAGCTGAAGAACTGAAGAAAAAGAAACATAAAACAATTAATAAAAACAAATATAAATACTGTACAGTATATTAAAATACCATTATCAAGGACAGATCCTGGAAATCCCATTTTACTGCTGCATCAGACAGAGATGTCATTTTCGCCAAGTCTTTGGGTTATAACCAAGACTAACCCTCAACACTGGTGGTTGATACTAATCATAACATTTAACACAACTGTCAGTAAAAATATTCAGAGAGTAGAAATACTTTATGCTGTATCCTATCCTAAATACACTAATATGCTGGTAAAATGCAAAACAATCATATACAACAGCATTATAAACCCATTCGAAAATATGGATCGGAGGTCTTGTGACTTACAAAGGGGTCGACTCCAAGCTGCTGTGATAGAGTACTGTACAGTGCTCATCCTTATTAGAGGAGTGATCAGATGAGATAGAATAAAGAATAAGAAAATCAAAGATCTTAATATAACACCAATTTTAAAAGACATTGATAAGACTAAATTATGATGGTTTGGACATATGCAGCATATGGGAGAACAGAGACCAGCTATGAGAGAGTTTAACTGGAATCCACAGGGATGACGACCTGTTGGATGACCACGCATGAGATGGATTGATGGTAAGAGGAAAAACAGTGGATGAAGTGGAGGTTAAATGTTATCAAGATGGTTTAGAGCGGAGGAGGCTGATTGAGGCCGGTGACTGACAGATCATAGACCTGGTGCCTAGTGAGAAAGATGTGAAAGCAACTTGTGCCTGCACCATCCCCTGTCCATTATCAGCCATACTGGATTTCCAGCAACAGGCCTCAGTCAGCTAAAGTCCACAATAGAACCAAAGGGAAGAGGGAGAGCTCTGAGTCTCTTTGGATGATTGTTCAACAATATGGGATTTCCAAGATCAATCCTTGATTCATGGTCTCGAGTCACTCCAAGAAGTCTCATGATTCAAGGAGCAGCTAAATAAAGGGAGTCAGAAAAAAACTTATGGTGGATACTGTGTAATCTGCACTTCATAAGGGAGGCAACTAAAGTTACTGTAAATACACCGGCAACTAAAAGAACCTCATTCTCATAACCATATCAGTGGCCTTGGAGGTCTTTCTGGGCCTCCCAGGAGATGACTTTTAAGAAGGAACCGAACTGGCATGATAACTGCATGCCACCCGCTGCAGACTTAATTGTTATTGTGCCTCATCCTGCATTCCCATGGATGAACTTTTTCACCCAACAGGGCAACGAAGTGAGTCTATTCCTTACCAGATATGTTCTTGGGACCTTTGGAAACTTATGAGAGAAAAAATTGGGCTAGTATGGCAGTGTGTAATTTCTCTGTCACCAGGAATTTGGCAGAAACTGATGTAACTACTCAGGATACAGCCAAACACACTGGCCATGTGGGAATCTTGTACAAAGTCCAGACACCACTGAGTTGCTAGATGGAAAATATCAAACCTAATTCAATTTGGTGGATCGTAACATGGCTCTAATTTACACGTAAAACTATCTCTAATTATGAACGGGTTATGTTCCTGGACCCTGTTGGTAAGTCGGAACAGTGTTAACTCCATAGTTTAGGTTAGGTTAGAGTACAATCCTGCACATAAAAAACAACAATATCTCATACATAACAAATAAAGTAAATAAAGTGATGTTAAACAATACAGAATAATAAAAGTAATGTAAAACCATGGGATTTTAGTTACAGTAAAGATTTTTGTGGTGAATACTATATATTGGGATACTGTTCGTAAGTGTGGGTGTTCGTAAGTGTGGGTGTTTGTAAGTGTGGGTGTTCATAAGTGTGGGTGTTCATAAGTGTGGGTGTTCATAAGTGTGGGTGTTTGTAAGTGTGGGTGTTCATAAGTGTGGGTGTTCGTAAGTGTGGGTGTTCATAAATGTGGGTGTTCGTAACTCGGGGACTGCCTCTATATATTTTTTCTCCACCTCGTATTATTAATTACCAAGATAAGATGCACTTTACCAGCAAAACCTACCTAACCTACATTACCTATCCTAAGATGGAACTAAATCATTATTAATATTTTTATCATCATTATTTTAGGTCAAATTTTGTTAAGTTTGGTTAGGTAGGTTCAAGGAAAGGAAGGAAGGTTAGTCAGTTGGTCACTATGGGAGCATTCTGTTGCTTAACAGTCAAAGTGGGTTGGTGTGAGGCATTTATCAACAGTGACATGCAAACATGACATCATCCTGAAGCTGGCGGGTGGTAGCATCTATATTTATGGGAAACCGAGGGAATAACCTGAATACAAAACGTGCTATTCCTTCACCCTATTTGCTTTATTCTTATGGTAAGAAATAAGTTTTCTTATACAGATAATTTTCATTAAGTGGCTGGATAAACCAGACTAATATTCTTAATATTTATATGCACCCTAACTTGTTCTTGGGTATGAAACTGGTATGTTAGCCAACAGATAGCATTGTGACAGCACCGAGTGAGCTCATTCAAGACCAGACTTGACCAACACTGGAGCATGTTCAGATACATTCAGGAGTTGGTACATGCCCAGTACGTGCCAACAGTGCGTAAGAGACGTGACTGATCGCTAAAGAAGTTAACAGATCGATCAGTGGTGAAGAGGATAAAGTAGATCACAGCCTCAGGTCAGCATATATTACTGTTCAGGACGAAAAGAATAGCCACAATAATAAACCAACAATTGCAAATCCTCGCCATATTTTAAGATTTTCATGAGTTAAGCAAGACATCTTTTATCCCAAAATCGTCTAAAGATGGTGTGTCAATGCAGTACAGTATGACAGCCTTGATCTGCAGTATTTATATTCCACTAAAGTGCAGACATCAAGCTACACACTGTGGATATTTGTCTGGTTGTTAGTTAGGCAGTTTTTTTTCGACTAACACCACAAGGAATTTATAGAATTGGGCGAAACTTTGTGGAAACAATATGGTAATTATTGACGACTCACCACCAATTATTTTTCACAGAAAACGAAATAAAAAATGCCACAAATTTCCAGTTTTATAGTGGGCACTGTCATAGTTATGGCAAATGTGTTAAAAAGTGTTTATTGAAAAGTTAAACTTAATTTTTAACCTAATCTAACCTAACCCCCCCCCAAAAAAAATAAAAATGATCATTATATCAGAAGTAACTCACTGATGAAAATATAGTAAGAATATAGCCATCAAAACACACAGCGCATCGCCGGTGTAGTCGCCAATAAAAGCCAACGATATTTACAATCTATTAAATATATACTGTAAATGGAAATGAGAATGCACAGAGCCTATTAGAACTTGACCTAACTTGACCTGACCTGACCTGACCTGACCTAACCTAACTTACTTAAGTGACCAGAAAAAAACTTCTAAATCATACAGAACGACACTGAATGGATTGTAATTAAAGTTTCCACAAATTTTTGTCCAGTTCTATCACTTCATTCTGGTGTTAGTCTTAAAAAAACCCTACCTAACCGACAACCGGTCAAATATCCACACGTATAATGGCTTCAGAATTAATCAACACGAATTATCTTACACTACCGCAATCCTTCACCGCCATACTGTACTATACAAACAATTAATGCAAGACTTAATATTAATTAATCTTTATATACAGTAACTATTTGGTAATTAAATTCTAACCTGCCTTGAAGAAACGCCAATGAACGAATTATTTTTGGACGAACTGCAACAAACATTTGGCACCTCTTGCCTGTCCGCGTTTTGATGTCTCTACCTACTGTAGCTTTAGCTTCATATCAAATGATGAAAATTTATCTAATAATTAAATTATTGTTTTTATTTATTCAATAAAATTGTCATTAAAACATAAATGCACTTTTTTTTTAATTCGAGTATTATGTATGAGCAGACTAAAGCTTTCGGAGGCGTTGGTTACTAATAATACGGGATTTTTATATCTTTTTCTTTTTCTTTATAATTTTACCACTTCTCACGGCCCGGATTTATAAACAGGTTTTAGATATGCTGGAAGAGGTAAAAAGGTGGAAGGGTGTTCTCTTGGGGAAATTGGACAGCAAAACACCGCCAAAATGACCGCTAACGCTTGGAGTTGGGACTCAGTTTAATTGAGACAACCCCTTCCCCTCCCCCGTTATCTCATGTACTATGCAACATGGTATTGCCTCTTATTTTAGTTAAGGAACATCATTGTTCGTGAATAAATAAATATATAAAGTATAAGCGGACATTCATGTATATTTATGCAATGGCTGCTGAGAATAAAAATGTATAAGACTTATGACAGGAGTCTACGCTAAAGACAAGCTCGTTCTCTAGACAACAACACGTTTTCTATGATGACCTTAAATATTTATGGTAAAATTAAATCAAGAGATGACGCAGTAGTCAGGCGCTGAACGTTAATTGAATGTAGTACAAGTTTCTCTATATATTCATTCCTTGGTATAATTTCCCGTTTTCTATGATAATCTACTTCGCAAAATTAGGTAATATTTCCCCAAAATTCGATAATTTACTTCCCAGAAAAGTCGATAATCTACTTTCCCGAAAAGTAGAAAAAAAATCTACTTTTCGGGAAAGTAGATAACCAACTTTCCCGGAAAGTAGATATTTCCCATTTTCTATGATACAAATTTCCCGTTTTCTATGATAATCTACTTCGCAAAATTAGGTAATATTTCACGATAAGGTTACAATTACATTTAAAATAGAGTAATATACTTACAGTTTGCAATAAAAAACTTCATAAACACTACTAAATGATTCAAGAAACTAGTAGCATATTTTATAATACAAAATATTATGAGTTATACCTGTACAAATAATAATAATTCGGTGAGTCAGTGACATCTTTGTTCTCTGCCCTAAAATAGTGTCCAATGCCTCGCACATCTTCAAAATTTCACATAGAGGAAATATGTAAAACTTCAACAATTGTCCATCACTTACACGAGTGTCCAAAGGGTCTTGTTAGTTCCTTTCAAGTCGCAAAGCTCAATAGTTTAATACTACAGCGATCAACTCCATCTTGCTTGCTAAAACATAAACAAACACAACTGCTGTTTATGAGATCATTTTTATCAGATTAGATTTTATCATTTAATATTATTTTTCATTGAAAACAGTGTTATTGAGGATTACAAGAGCTTGGAAGGAATATGCTCTTTATGTAATCTGGAAATGTACTCCGCTGTGTCGGAGTATATTCCATTACAGGAACTCCAAAGGTCCTGTAAGTTATGGCCTCCAGATATCAACTTTATCAACCATATCCACTGTTCCAATGAGTATCCAACACAATTAAACATTTACATGTATTGTTTTCATATTTTTATTAACAAAGTACTAACAAATGGGCTATTCACTTACAAATTACACATGAAAAAATATTCAATCAAAATTCAACTTTCTTGACTAGCAGTTAACTACATAATATAACTAAAGTATTTTCCGTGTTACTGTTTGAAAAAGAGAGCCAAGTTTATATAATATCTGAAGAACATCATTATCAATGGCTAAGAGTTTTGAAATACAGCACGTTAATCATGATGAATCAGAAAAAACTATAATTCACACAATTCAGTACTGATAATGGCCACACAAACAGGTGAAGATTTAGACAAACAGGCATTGGGTAAATAAATAATTAAGGAAAAAATCAGTGATGAAATCCTTAAGGAGCACAATGCAAAGTGGTTGCATCAGCTGACATGTACTGTATACTCTACACCGAGTTGCAGTAGCCTCCAGAAAAATAAATTGCAAAAACCACCTTCATAAAATTCTAACAAAGCAAATGCATGCCAGCGTTAAGATAATTAAAATATTTGAAAAATATGAATGTCATCTGGAGAGCTGGCAACATTTGATAACTACCTCAGTTGTGGAGACATGCCCCTGACCATGGTATCAAGCACAACTGAACTGAGTAAGTATACACATGATCCAAATGTGTGTCAAGTAAAAATAATTCTATAAAGATCTGGAAGAAACCTCTATTTCCTGCTAAAGTATACAAAGGTAAATGACAGTCCTTAAGAGTAATAAAAATAATATATTGTGTCAAAGTGGTTATTAGCATATATATATATATATATATATATATATATATATATATATATATATATATATATATATATATATATATATATATATATATATATATATATATATATATATATATATATATATAAAATTACAAATCTTGCTTGAAGGACAGAAGGAAGACTGATTACATTACATCCTTTTCTGATAATACTTCACTCTGAACTCTCCTGCACTGCATTGTACTGTACAAGGCAAAATGATGATATAAACTGAGCCTGGCATCAGCAATCATCCATCCATCAGGCATTTAAAATTAACATTTCAAGCACCCTAATATCTACAATTCTTTTGTGCAACTCTGCTGTTAGGAAATACCACAATTTACTGTTCTCCACTTTCTTACACAACTTCACATCACCCTAAATTACATTTTTTGTTACCCAACCCATCAAAAGCCGAGACTTGCTACAAAATGTGGCAACTACGAATAAGGGTCAAATGCTAGTGTACACTATATGACCAGTGATCACCACGTATGAGACCATATGACAAATATAACCTTGCTGAATCAATATAAATTTGGTTATTCATTTAGAATAAAAGAAAACCTTTCTTCCTCGAGAATAAAAGTGAAGGGAAATGTAATATGGTCAATCTTCACTCAAGTTTTACAAAATGAAACTAAATGTTTATATTTATGATGAATCACAAGGCCGAATCCAAGCTGATGCACTTACATCACTCAAAAAAATTCTGACCAATGCAAAGGTATCATATGCAGCAGTCAAATAAATGACCTATTGGTAAAATGATCTCTCTCATTCTTTCCCTCCATGGCTCACCAGCTTCTGGATAATCGAAGCTGGGCCTGGTGTTGGGGTAATGTCACAGGCAGGGTTACACTCACATCACCTGAACGCAAGCCGGGATTCCCCCTTGAGGCATCACGCGGTGGTCACCTTTGACAATGTCAGGGTCAGATTAAGGTTGTGAGGGGCCTAAGAGGGAAAGGCCTATATATGATCAGTACTACCATACTGTATATTACGTATATGCAAAAAAAAAGGGTATTTATTCTCGTATATAATAATGTAGAGCCTTAATAAACATAACAAAAGTCATTTACTTAACCACTTTGTTAAGTTGTTAACTTGTGACAAGATTTAAGTTTAAGAAATACAAATTAAGGCCTAAACTTGAGAGCCTAAATATCATGAGGGCTTAAGTACAGCCTCATTAGTCTTGAGGTTAATCCTGCCCTGCAAGTAACTGGATATAATGATCATCTTAATGGACTTGCTCTCATGGATGTTCACTATTCAATGGAACTTGATTTGAACATCATTGTGAACAAGTTTGCTTAGGTACATCCTTGTAGGATGGAACTAGTTGATATCATAAAGAATTATGACATATTATAATTATCTTATGTACATTTATTACTTATTGATGTATGTCAGTGTCTGTTTGTATACATACTGTACAAAGCTATAAACAGTATTGTGTAAATCAATAAAACTATACGTACAGTATATACAGTCTTACTCCATTTTATTTTATAACAAAATATAGGTTGAAATATCTGGCTAAACATATATTAATCAAAGTAAATATAAGTTAATTAGTTATTATAAACGTGGCATTACGGAATGAAGTGTAAAATTCCAACTACATCGGTCAAATTTGAGGTCTGGATCCGACCCTGAATTAGTAAAGATAGCTTTACCTTATACCATTATTGATTAGATTTGCCAATATCAAAATAGTTTATCTCAAGAGCTGGGACAAAGCACCTGTGAAAGTTGATCTAATAACTTCAGTACTAATCCTGAGATTCATTTCCCTGCAACTGGCTGACTCTGTCACAATTATCCTCTTCTTTAAATCCATGATCAAGGTTTTGTATTTTGTCTCCAGTCTCTTTTGTCTCAAGTGATTTACTGTCACAGCCACCCAGAGTCACATCTGTCTCTTCTTGTGGTCGCCCCTCCTGCGGCTCCTCACTGTCCTGCTTCTCGGATCCCTCCCCTTTCTTCTTGCGGATTTTCTCAGCAAGGAACTTGAAGCGCAACATGCACTCCTCCTGTAAGGTCATTATCATAACTTGAAAACTTGAGACTGGTAATGTAAAAATAGCCATTATTTACTAAGGCATATCTAAACTACAGAAAATTCATATTGATAGTCGTACACACCCGGTATATCATCAACTTATATACATGAGCTTGAGTGCTGTGATTTTTACCCTATATATATTGAGATATCAAGAGATTCATTATACAGTCCTGTTACCTTAGTCTTATCCGGCACAGCTCGAGAAATCTTGTCCCAGCGCTGGTCAGTGCCCTTTGGGTTTTGCTTTAATGCTTTTTCCAAGGCCTTCTGTTGTATGGGGTTCCACATTTCATCACAGCCAGCAGACAGGTCAGACTTCTCTGCTCTAGTTTTGACTTTCACCTGTTGAACAACCAAGGTACAGACATGAATAAGACAAACAAAGCTTTTTTAACTGATAAGACAAAGATTTGCTCTACTAATCAAGAAGTGTGTGCTTGAATGCATGAATTAAATGAACTTAAAAATGTAACACACTTTGACAGACTCAAAATAAGTCCTGTACTCTGAATTTGATATAATTATACAAAAGCTCACCTTAACTTCTGGTACAATTTCTTCACTCTCAACCTCAGACGAGCGCTGCATTAAGCGAGCCTTCACTTTACTGGACATCTTTGTGACTTCAAATACAGTTCGTCCCATCATGTCTGCAATACGCTCCCAGCGGTCAACAGTGCCTCCTGGAAACCTGAAGTTGGGTGAAGAATCAGATGATGATGTTATGGTATACTGTTTATCAAAACTGGAGGGTTTAAAATTCAACTTGTCAGCTTAAAATACAACCAGTCAATAACAATATCTAAAACCCTCTTATTTGCTCATCTCGGGAGGTACTGTACAGTCTTCCTTATGGTATTTCTACCCTTGTCCCTGTGGTGGTACTTCTTGGATACTCTGATTGTTACTCTAACACCAACAAGTAGAAAATTTCCCTCATAAACCACTTTCTGTTTCTTTTGCTACCTTAGTGGGTCTACCATGTCCAATAGTTAACAGTACACTTGAATTTTCCTACTTCTCTACCAGTTCTCAGTGCCAGACAGTAACTTCTCGGTCAAAATTTTATCAGTTCCTTCCCAAACCGAAAGACACAGTTTGTTACATATATTTTAAATCCAGATTCTCTCCACGCAAGGCCACCTTGATATAAGGCTCACTAACTTCAGTGCCCAGGCTCAACAACCAACTTATCCCTGCCATTACAAAAAATGCACCACAGCAATGTCCCATCCACGTCCTTCAGCTTCCACAAAAGATCTCGAGTAAAGACCAACAGTTGCAGCCCAAAACCAATCCATATCCACAACACATAAATAACCAAGTTTTAGAATAAGTAATTTATATGAATATAGATGTCATGATACCTTATAAATAGGCAACTGCTAGTGCAAAACTGCATCCATACTTAGCCATAAGACGAGCAAGTTCACAGAAGTCTTCATCAGTCCATGGACCACCAGTGACAACAGGAACAGAAGGGGTGACAGGCTTCACCCTCTGAAAACAACAAAATAGTTCCAGTGTGCATATAATTGTGTCTGTACTGTACACAAACAGATAAAGTACGGACAAATGAATCAGGGGTGGGAATATAATTATTGGGAAGTTATATTTGACAAATTTACAAATGTTTGTGATTGTTTTCTTGAGACTGCAACTGAAAAACAGAGGGGGGAGGGTGGAGTCATCAAAGCTTTCTCACCTGTCCTTCAGACTCTGGCCCATCCACAGCTTCCAAGAGACAATCCTCATTAGAAAAGTCAGGGAGGACATTAACTCTCTTTCTTGCTTCTTTTCGACTAGCCTTCTTCTCTCTACGTTTCTCCTCCTGTATGGTAAATGCATACGGTATCATTAGTAATATTACACAGATTTTCTACAATATCATATCCTGTATAAAACAATAAAAAGAATTATTTATCTGGATTACATAAATCTGTTTTTCTTTTAAATATCAAATACATTACATAGTACAGTGCAACTATATGAGATCATATACACAAACTACAGTGTGTAAAAGTTATAATTTGGGAAAATATGGCCTAAATTCCAAAGATAACATGCTGGACAGAAGGCTACTTTATGAGGCTTGGAAGAGTCAAACAACAGCAGTCAATACAACAAATCCCCCACAACTAAAAGCTGAACAATGTTCTGCCTACCACAACTCTTCTATGCTTTGTTTAATCAGACCCAAATTTTAAGAGTCAATTCAGAACAAACTTCATATCTTTAATGTTAGTGGTTACACAGGAGACCCATGGTTTAATTGCATGAACTGAACGTATATAAGTACATGAGCATCCATGCATGCACACACATTTTCTCTCATTCTAGCTCAATACTTTATATAAAATGACAATGGCAGTGACCATATTTTCTGGGAAGTGTATACTGTATTATTATTATTTGATCACAACCATCCAATGTGGTGATGGTGTTGTTTCATTACTGAAATAAAATACATTATAAAGAAGGTTAACATGTACAACACTGACAGCTATAACAACAGCTGTGCCACCAAGCATATAGTATAATTCATTCATTAACTCGAATACGCTGGATAGCTTCAAACATAAGTTGTATGGATATATGAGCGATAGGGGTTAGGCATAAATGGGACTGCCCAGTGTGGGCCAATAGGCCCGTTACAGTTCCTCCATTCTTATGTTGTTGTACTGTACTTCATGCAGATAAGTTAAAAATGGAGAAATGAAAGGATAAAGTGGTCTCAACAGGAAGAAATGAGGAGTAGAGATATGACATGATAGGTGAAGAAACTTCAACTGAGAATAACTAGACAAAAGCAGAGTACTGTATATTGGTGTACAGTACAAGGAGTAAAGATACACGGCAGGTCAATCTTACCTCTTCCTGGCGCCTTCTCTCCTCTTCCTCTTCATCTTTCTTCTCCTGTAATTTTCTCTCACGCTCCTCCTGGATACTGGCCAAGATTTGCCGCACGAGCCCTGGGCCGCCTGTCACCAGGAACACAACTAGCCTCACCAGCTGTACCGGCAGAATATTCCACCAACTGTCAACAAATAACACTGATACTCAAAGTGATAAGAAACATGTACAGTATTCTGTAAGATAAGTTTCATTAAAATTTATGTTTTTTACTTGATATCTGTAAAAGATCCCAAGTTCCATTCCCTCCCAGTGTGAAGATTGTGATCCTCCAGAGACACTAGTGGTTGAATACAAAGAATCAGTGCCAGCCTAACTACCTTACACCAAAGTAAACACCTTACCTAGGTTTGGGGATCTGGCCCAGTGCTGCTTCCATTAGAGAGATAGTTTCAAGATCCTCTGCCTTCTTTTTCTTCCTGTCCTTAATCTTGTACTTCTTCATCAAACTTTCTTCCTGTAATATAAAATACATTTAATAAATACGGCAGCCGAATAATTTTAACTGTCATTGTTGTAGCAAAAAACTTCCCCTAACTCTATTTTTTCCAATAAGTTATCTACTGTACTGGTATTTTTCCCAACATGGTATTACTCAAGATCATAACCTCCACTCTGAACAAGACCCTATTGCAGTCCTATCCTTCACCAAAGTACGATGATCTAAACTGAAAGTCAACCACATATCTGTTACAATTGGTCTGTCCTGTCAACCTTGCTTATTCCACTTCCCTAATTACAGTCCTGTACCTCCATCTTCCTCCAAGGGTAAATACAAAGGCAAACCTTGAATTTTCCTTTTTCACCCAGTAAATACAGGTACCAGAGGAACACACACATAGCAACAGCAAGACTGGTACTGTACTGCATTTTCTACTTACCAAGCAATGTCTTCTGTCTATGTATGATCCCCATGCCATCAAGTACTGTGTGATGGATATAACAATAGTAAGAATGACAGAGATCTCCAACATGGACATTTTGCGAGCTCTTCGGTAGTAGTAGATGGGTGAACGCCAATCGGGCAATCCCTCCACCAACACTTGATTGTATCGCGCCCTCTGTCCTTCATCACGCAGAATATCATAGATAGACACGAGCTGCAAGAAAATATAACATTACTCTCGCAGTACAAGAACAAAAATGCCAGCTATTGTGTTAAAACTACTTCTTATATAATTCATGAGAGAAAATGAGAAGTTTTGGTACTCGTACAATTGAAATATTCTGAACACCTATAAGCTCATATCCCTAAGGCTTAAAAATCTTACCTGTCTAAATTTTTCCTCTGCATCAGGTGCATCATTCTTGTCAGGATGGAGCTGCAGTGATAATCTTCGGTATGCTTTTTTTACTTCACCTAAGGTAGCATCCTGAAATTAAAGGCTAATTAATATAAAAATACATTTGGTACAGTGTTTGTTTCACATCTAGGTAATACACGACAAAAGTGGTCCGGTTTTAGCAGTTACCACATAAAAAATTTCCAGATACAAAAAACTTTATTACCCCAAGGAACATAATCTGCACCATTTACTTTTACCTTTTTTTTTTTTTCGTAAACAGAGTTGGAGTACCTTTCCACTCCCCATTCACCTGCCATGCTTACAGGTACCCTTTTTCGGATTGACTGATAATTCTTTCAGTCACACATTGTTGTTGTTATTTACTATCAAGATTTTTTATTTTTGTTTTAATTTACAGAAGCTGGTGATCAAATAGCAACTTCTCAAGTTTTTTAGTTTTATTCATATAAAATAGAATAGAATTTCTCAGTGAAAAGAACCATTATTCCTAGTGTCTCAACGTGTTTCTGGTGGCAAGGCCGTGTCTTCCTCCACCCATGTCACATCTGAACCAACATTTCTCACAACACATTCCATCTGTAATTTTCGTGTTTTTTGCGATAAGAAAATTTTAACCTTCAAGAAATACATCCACAATTATTAAGTCTGCAAGCCCTGGATAGATCTTTGGTTAATATACCGTACATTCTAATCGGTTAGGATAGTTTGGGATTCCTTGGTTCATTAAGTTATTTTATTTCTTTCAAAAAAGATGCAATACTGTAGGTAGTTGAATATGATTCCAGGACTGAAAACCTCGTTATCTCATTAATAGCGAGATATCAAAACAAGGTCAACATAGGGGTGATATTATTAATTGGAACATTATTTTCCTTAATGCAAAGTGCCTGTACAGGTACACAGTAACTAAAAAATAAAAATATAATTGTGCAACTAAACTATTATCCATTATTGAAGCCCAACAACAGACTCACCTGAGATATTCCAAGAACTTCATAAAAATTTTGATTGACTTCCTCCACCACATCAAACAACTCCATCTCCTCGGCGTCCCAGCACTGTACTGTAGGGGCCAGGACCACAACCACAGCCGTTATATAACACCACACCAACATTTTCTTGTTGCTTTTTCTTCCTCAGTCCTTCAAATATAGTTTACACGATGACTACTGCAACCACAGTTTGAGTTTTGTTCTCACATACGGTCAAACTACAGCAGGTTAACCAACCCCAGCCATGACGAGACACACACACACACCCACCACAGTCTTCCCTCCTCCTCTATACCTTCACTTTACATGGATGATTTTCTCTTCCTGTTTTCTGATATGTGTGAAGAGTTAGTATGGGGGGGGGGGTCTTTAGTGTGCAGTGAGCTAGTTATGACACCTCACTTGCCTCGTCAGCTGTCCTGCCACACATCAGCTGTGGTGTGGTGCTCGTGTAAACACTCGGGTATCGTACGTGGTTCACTCTTAATAACGTACTGCACCTCTACTTGTCGTGCTGTTCAATAGAGGTTTCCTTCATTAAATGATTAACTAACTTGAGCTAAATTACGGCAAACTTAGTAGAAGACATACGGTTAAGTATATCTCAAATAAACAGTTTCTTTACTGTAGTTATAAAACTTGTTTTTTTTTATTTCAATTGTGTCCAAAGATCGCCTACTTTACTTTTACTTTTATCCACTTCGCCACTGATCGGCCTATTATCCGCTCAGCTGCATTCTTAAACAGACCTGAGTGCTTGAACTCGGTGATAACGCCAATGTCCGTGACTTCTCACTTTATTCCGAGAAAAAATTACCCCATTATTGCACTGGGATGACTTTATAATCACACCTACTTGTAATCTCAGTGAACTAAGATATGTGAGCATTGTGCCCTAGTGGCAGGAAAATCTCCTTAGATGTCCTGCTGGCACCCTCATTCATCCAGTGTTACTGACCAAGTTTTTTTTTTATTAGTACGTACATCTTTTTTCCCAATTTTCCTCGACAGAATGTTGGTATTACACTGTACTCCTCTAAAGTAATCCTCGCCACACTAGATCTTCCTATCAATGGTAGATCACTAGGCACTCATGCCTGCTGCTCCTTCAAATTTATTCCACTTAAATTATTTTAAAGTTTCCACAGCAATCTTTGTTAGCACAATGAACCAGTGATGGAAACGGGATGTACGCAGGTACATGGTGTGTACTATTCTGTATGTCGATATACAGTAATATAAATAATATGTTGGATGTCGCGACATCTGGTGAAAATCAGCAAATGTAACTTGGCAGTTATAATCTTAATTGTGTGCTAATGCGGTAGTGTGTACTGATAGATATTGCATCCCCCATAGGGAACCAAATGTGAAAGACATTGGTGAAAAATATTATATCAAAACAGTCCAAAATGTTTATTATGAATCTACTACTATTAATGGGAAAACTGTTCTAGCAGTCTGTTTAAGAGCAGCAGTTGGTGAAGCTTCCCATCATATATCATTCTATTTTGACTTAGTTTTAAAACCCATTTCCATCACTGCTATAAACTGTCCTAGCTAAAGGTACTGTACAGTAGTATTACATTCTCTGATCATCAAGTCACCATTCCATGAGAGATAAGATAACAGTCACGATATACCAAGATATAGTATAATTAAAATTAAAGGATAAATTTCTTTTGGAGGAAATAAGACAATTTGTGACAACACTCCACCTTGTCAGTTTGCCATTATTAAAATGAATACCGGTACGGGTAGTAATAACATTTAATATAAAGTCAACATGTAGAAGCAAATTATTAATCTGATAATTACTATAACACATCAATACTGTACTTTAATCTTTGACAGTACAGTACAGTATTTGCACTATTCTGCTTGGCTTGTGAACCAACACGATTATTGTGAAATAAATAAGAATGTACAATACTTCCACAGTTTTAGTTCAAATATAATAACAGCTTCATCCATCTACTTTAATCCAGTCAGTTGGTAATGAGGTAGAATGAACTTCTGCCATATTTTTACTTACCCGGTACTCTTAGCATTTATATACGTACAGAATTATGGAAAAAAAATCAAGATAATTTGTCCGAGATGTTTATTAAAAGAGCAGAAATGTTTCATTCAAAATAATAGGCTAAAATTAAAGATATTTTTATGCACGATGAAAGGCAGAGACTGGAATGTAGCTCAGTAAGTATTCCTGAAAAATTAACTTTTATGTTGCCACTCTTAGCAGTCATGTGAATTACACTCACTACTTCATCACCCTTTCATAATAAGTCTGTTAAATAAGATAAATCCACAATTTTATAAAGAGAACATAGGTATTTCATGATCCCGTAATACCGTACAACATGAAAATAAAATAAAATTTAATCTTTGTAACTTAGATTCCCTGTTTTGAATTGAAAAAACTACTGAACAATGAAAGCAATATATGCAGCATTTAGAATTGTAGTTTGGTGCCAATGAGTACATGATCTAACATCTTGGGGAGAGCAACTTCAGAAAATTAAAACTAAAAAAAAATAAAAAATCTGTACAGCATACATTATGTCGCTGTCTGGGTGAAAACAAACAGAAAAATACATACTTGGATGGATGAAAAATGGAAACACTTCATGCTCCCTGCCTACCATTTACTTTAAGCAATACAGGCATTGATAATGCTTATTAGACAGGAATTAATGAGAGAACTATGATGAAAGAGTTTGGCTGACTACTGCCTAACATGTGCTGATATAATAACACAAACAATTATCATGAAGTATCTGAGGAAATGTTTGAGGATGAAATGTATCAAAATATAACCATAAATTATTTTAAGTACAGTACAATGAAATGGTGGAATGCTTGGAGGTTCCTTCTGCTCACAGTTTAAGAGTAAAGCAAGAGTGCAGAATTAATGTATAACGGGAATAATTTTCTATGTTTTAATATGAATGATTCAGTGCATGATATAAAACAATCGAAAACATTATTGATGTTCATTATAAAGATAAAACCTGGGAATGAACAGTTCAGAAGCCACCGATATATGCCACAATGTAATCTTACTCTCAGAAAGTTTACATGTAAATTTCTCTATTTTCTTTGTAAGTCATCTCCTTTAACCCTTGAGTCCTGAAGGGTTTAATTATCATCAACAAAGGTTAAATCATCATCACTAAAGGGCTATAGCTATACTGTATACAGAATATATTTATAAAAATGTCTTCATATTCATAAACACTGGACATTTCAATAAGCTTAGCAGCATCCTTATACTGTATAAAAACAATTATCTATGATAACATTGACCGAGTATTTAATAAAAAATAAACTACAATGTATGTATGTAGATCAAAAGGTAAAAGTTAGATAAGAAAGACAAATTGGATTTTTTAGTACTGCATACGTACATGTAACACATTTGAGAATATAAATATCAAATAACCACACAAATGCAAATATTTAATTACTGGTATTTCAGATAAACTTTCCCAAAGACTTGACTTTCACTTGAGTGCGTTAGTGTACTGAGCTTCATGTGATTCATAGATGGACACTTCCAGGAGGGACCCAGTTAAAGATGGCCGAGGCTCTGGGAAGGATATCACTCCCTTCTTGTGGGTGGGACTTCTGGAGTCCTTTGGTGACAAACCATCAATAAGGTTTTCCTCGAAGGTTACTTTTGACATCATCCTGTGACCTGAGGAAAAAAAGACCAGTTAAATATGTACCCACAATATCCTGTACAGTGTCTCCACAAAATCCTGTCCCAGTTTCAAAATTGGCAAGTAGAGGAGCACCTTCTAAAATTGTGGCAATGAAATATGTAGCTACTGACAGAATAGCAACCACTGTTAACAAGAGGTTATAGAGGAGAGAATGATATGAATGATTTTATACAGTGGTTGTGGGTATGGTCTTACCTTTATGCTTCATAACCAGAGCGGGTTGATTATCTGTTAACATTTTCATGCGGCGCCGCAGTCTCTCATTCTCTTTATTATCCTCCTTATTCTGTAGATAAAATAAGATTAGCAGTGATAATGATAATAACAAAATAAATTAAATAATAAAATAAATAAATAAAATTCTCCAAATTCACTTCTATGACAATGACTCATTATCCCTTGTTTTAAACAATGGTTATTTCTCTGGAGGAGTCTTTAGTGCTTAGGTTTAAGCTGGAAGGAGCAGCTCTTAACAGGTCTTGGTATCTCAACCTAAGTTTTACAAAGATTCTAACACCATAGATTGAAATGGGTCTTATGATACCTATACAGTATAGTTAATTGTACAGTAGTTAATCAGAATTCAAAGGTCACAATATAAATAATATTTTTAATTTGTATAATTGAAGACACTTACCAGTAAAATAACATAGTAATGATAATATATTAATTTCAACTGTTTGAAACTAATGTGTCAGCTGATTATTGTTGCAGCAACTTAAGACAAGTAGTACAGAATTTTGTCAAATACTCAGAGTATAATGCTGTGGTCGTGGCAATGGTTTCACCCAAATAATCATGGACTGGATTTTGTAGAGACCAACCTGTCCTGTAGTAGAAAGAATTCTAAGAAATGTTGGTTAAAGATGACTGATTGCAACAAAATAAATAACTATATTAATTCACCAATATTATGGGCACAGCAGAGGAGTACATAGCCTTAGGGAGAACATTTTCTTTCTTGTTGATGTGCACTGGCTGGACTAATTCTTCCTCTTCACTAGTCTATAAAAAAAATAAATAATAATAATATTTATGATAATCAGTACAATATATTATAGTGTCAAAGATAATTAACCCCAAAAATAGGGAGACCACACATTCATATTTGGTGTGCTCATATCCTAATACTGTACATGTACATGCCATCAGCTAGTTGTGTTGCACCCTTGATGGACTAGCAAATGAGCAAAGCCAAACCTTAAGTCAGAAATGATTACTGTATACTGAACTGTTGCCACTCACTCATGCAATGTAGAAGCCTTGATTCATTTTGCGTACCACAGACATATTGGTACGCATGGTACACTGGCTAGGGACCCATATAATTATGTGTAATCATTCAAATGCAGGCAAGAAAAATGATTATGCAACTGTTGCAGGAATCATCCTGGAAGATATACAGCAACAGTTGCAGAATCATTCCTGAAGGGTTAAAACAGTGTAAGATATGTAGGTACACAAGGCCACAACTGAGGTAATACATTTGTGTCCCTGGAAAGAATTCATATGACAAAAACTGTTTGAGTGCAAGATATGACTGAAGAAATAATTACATTAAAAATTGATGATACAAATACTTACTTGGCGACTCTTCATTCTCAATCCTAATCGATTCAGATTATCCTGGATCCTTGTGAGAGCAACTTCTCTTTTTGCAAAACTAGTTTCCACCACTTCAGTAACCCGAGGAGCCTCCTGGTACTGGGCGTGATGTTCTTTACTTTCTGTCTGGTTCACCAACTGATGGGGTTTCTTTCTGGGAGAACACTCGTCCTTCGTCTTCAAGGGGCTGATTTTGTGACGGGATTTAACATTCACTAAGAAGGGAGGTGGTGGGTTCTCCTTCAGGTATTTAGCAACAGGACTTTCAATATTCATTCCTGACTTGAAGCGTAAATTGTTGATTTTGAAAGGTGAGGAAGATGGGGCCTTACTAGCTGAATTGACCTTTAATTGAGTCTGGGTGCTTCTTTCCTGGGGAGTGTATTGCTTGATTCCTCGGTTAGATGGTTGTTTCATTATAAATTTACCAATTTTATTGGGAGTTGGTCGGGGTGGAAGACTGGAGTATGGTGTAGGTTGTTTCTTGAGCACATTAGATGATTTTTGTATTGTTGGAGTGTGATGTCTTGATACTGGAGTGTGAGGTTGAAATCTGGTAGCTGACCGAGGTAAATTTGGTGTATTGGCTGGTGACTGGCCAGGTCTAGAAATTTTCTGAAACTTTGTTGAAGATCCTGAGTTTGCTAAGCCCAATCCAGTGGGAGGTGCTGAGGAAGGAGTCCTTCCACTGGACTGAATTACACTCGGCTGTTTTGGAGTATAAAATTTGATCTTATCGCCCTTAACCTGTTTTGGTGTTGTTATTTTGGAAACCTGAGGAATTTGTCTTCTGGTAGACATCTTGTGAACATTAATAAGTTCTGTTTCCTTGGCCCCCACAGAAAAAGATTTAAGTATGCATTGTGTTGGTGTCTTGTGGCAGCTATTCTTTTGCGGACTGACATCAGGTGAACAGAATTTACGAGGAGGTTTAGGGGGTGGTCCTTTCTTAATTTCACTGAGTGCTTTGGAAGGAGAAAATATAACACGCGTCTCATTACTTCCCACGTCTTCAACATGTACTCGAGGTGTCATAAAATGTTCTTGGTACGAAGAAGCGCGAGTTGACTCTAATACAGGCTGGAAGTTTGAAACAGCGCTAGCAATACTGGAGGATCGGGTGGAGCAAACAATGGGATCATCTGCAATGTTTTCAAAAGTATTGTCTTTGTTGTCTGGTACTTTCACATCACTTGAGTCTTTTCCTACACTGCCACCTGCTTCAACTACTTTCTTCTGGTTTCCCTCTCCATAACTCAATCCATATTTCAGCATCATCTCCATCTCTTCAATAGTATCATTGAATTTTGGACATGGCGACTGTGTGCCTTGTACACTCTCTGAAGAAGTATCAAAAGATTTCTTAGAAATATTAAGATTTTGTGGAGAAAAACTCTCATGTTCTGGACTTTTGTATCCTTGAATTTTCTCAATGCTATTATTACTATGGTGGCTTTCAGGAGCCGAGAGACTAAGAGACCGAGAATTACAAGACAGTGTGGAAATCTGAGAGTAATCTGAAAGTGAGACAATTACTGCTTTATTGGCAGACCCATAACTCTCAACATGTAGATCATCCAAGCTTAGACTATCCTCATGTGAAAGATCCTCTCCACAGTCTATAGCAGTGTGGAGGTTATCCTCAATTGAGAAATCTCCATATACCTCATTACTGTCAACATTGATCACGTCGAGGCCGCTGAAATAACTTAGCCGTACCGTAGATGCATTATTCATTTCACCGGAAGAAGTTTCTCTAATATCATTACATGTGGTCTGAATTGTCTGACATGAATCAGCGGCTGAATCCTGGATAATAGGTAAAATATTGTTTGTTGTTCCATCAGATAATGTTGGCTTTGAGATCTTTTCACTTTCATTCTCGATCTCACACATAAAATCTTTGTTTATCTGTGGTTCCTGCAGTCTTTGTTCACAGCTAACCCCTAGGTCTCCTTCACAGATGACTTTACTTGGCACAAAGTCTATGGCTTCAAATTCACTGTCTGTAGATTCTGGTACAGTGACTGAGATTTCTGGTACAGTAACTGAGGTTACTGGTACATTGACTGTGGTGTCTGATATATTATGTGTGGTTTCTAGTCCATCTTCTGGGGTTTCTGATTCACTGGCAGTGGTTTCCAGTACAATGTATATGGCTGCTGGTACAGTGACTGATGTTTCTGGTACAGTGACTGATGTTTCTGGTACAGTGACTGATGTTTCTGGTACAGTGACTGAGGTTTCTGGTACAGTGGTTGATGTTTCTGGTACAGTGACTGATGTTTCTGGTACAGTGACTGAGGTTTCTGGTACAGTGACTGAGGTTTCTGGTACATGGAGTTTCTGGTGGTGACTGATGTTTCTGGTTGTGACTGATGTTTCTGGTACAGTGACAGTACAGTGACGGAGGTTTCTGGTACAGTGACGGAGGTTTCTGGTACAGTGACTGATGTTTCTGGTACAGTGACTGATGTTTCTGGTACAGTGGTTGATGTTTCTGGTACAGTGACTGATGTTTCTGGTACAGTGACTGATGTTTCTGGTACAGTGACTGATGTTTCTGGTACAGTGACGGAGGTTTCTGGTACAGTGATGGACTGAGGTTTCTGGTACAGTGACTGAGGTTTCTGGTACAGTGACTGATGTTTCTGGTACAGTGACTGATGTTTCTGGTACAGTGACGGAGGTTTCTGGTACAGTGATGGAGGCTTCTGGTACAGTGACTGATGTTTCTGGTACAGTGATTTCTGACAGTGATGGAGGTTTCTGGTACAGTGACTGATGTTTCTGGTACAGTGACTGATGTTTCTGGTGACTGAGTTTCTGTACAGTGACTGATGTTTCTGGTACAGTGACGATGTTTCTGGTACAGTGACTGATGTTTCTGGTACAGTGATGGATGTTTCTGGTACAGTGACTGATGTTTCTGGTACAGTGGTTGATGTTTCTGGTACAGTGACTGATGTTTCTGGTACAGTGGTTGATGTTTCTGGTACAGTGATGTTTCTGGTACAGTGACTGATGTTTCTGGTACAGTGACTGATGTTTCTGGTACAGTGACTGATGTTTCTGGTACAGTGACTGAGGTTTCTGGTACAGTGATGGAGGTTTCTGGTACAGTGACTGATGTTACTGGTACAGTGACTGATGTTTCTGGTACAGTGACTGATGTTTCTGATACAGTGATGGAGGTTTCTGGTACAGTGACTGAGGTTTCTGGTACAGTGACTGAGGTTTCTGGTACAGTGGTTGATGTTTCTGGTACAGTGACTAATGTTTCTGGTACAGTGACTGATGTTTCTGGTACAGTGACTGATGTTTCTGGTACAGTGACTGATGTTTCTGGTACAGTGATGGAGGTTTCTGGTACAGTGACTGATGTTTCTGGTACAGTGACTGATGTTTCTGGTACAGTGACTGATGTTTCTGGTACAGTGACTGATGTTTTTGTCCCAGCATCTGACACACTGACTCCACCTACATATGTCTCTTCTTTCACAGCAACTAAGATCTTCATCAAAGCCTTAGAAAGACCCGGGATACCTTTAAGTTTCTCCTCATATTCAACAATGGGTCTTGAAAACCTGCTTGAGTGGGTTTCTATTGACTGTGAGGACAAATCAACAGGTGCCTTTGATATAATACTTTCATTATCAAAAATCTTGGATTCATCATTGGACATATCAGAATGAGAGTTAGTATGAAGAGCACTATCACAGCTAGTGTGAAGGCTGCCTGACATTGCTGATGTACAACTATTCTCTGATAAATTCTGCCACGAAAATGATTTTTGGGAATCACTTTCACTAACTGCCACACAAAGACTTACATCTGTACTCGTGTCTTGTGAGACCCTTTTTACTCCTTTGTGTGAAGTAAACACAAACAGAGCCTCTTGTTCTTCTGGTTCAGAACTAGGCACAGAATGAGACAAGTGTGATGAATTCCTATGTACACTGTCATCATCCAGTGAAAATTGTCCACTGCCTGTGGATGAGAGGTTGCTGCTAACATCTTGGACATGAATGGCTTGTGAAGTATCACTGTCATGACTACATTTCTGTGCATCATTCTCTTCCAAGGATTCAAGTGAAGGACTGAAAATACAGGTAAAATTTGTAAACAGCAAGTATAAAATTAGACTGGTTACAAGAATAAATCCTCCAAATAATTAGGTGACACATTTTCACATTACTGTAAAACAAAGGATAAGAAACATGCACTGTACAGTATCATGTAAATTTAACACCTTCTAGATAAGTATTACAGTGTATGAAGAGAGAGAGAGCATGTGAGAAGGGTGTTAACCACGGTGACCTTCACTACCAAACACCACAGGTTTTCTCTAGGTACTCCGGTTTCCTCCTGCATTAACAATAGACAATAAAGATCATAACTAAGTAACAGGGAACAGACTGACCATCTGAATGAAAATTAAGCTGGTAAGTGAAGGAAATAATAATAATAATAATAATAAAAAGTCAAAAGTCATGGTCTACTTTTATAAAATCAGAAAGAAAATTATGAATAAAAAGTTCAGGAAATTTAGGGCACCAAAGAGAGCTACTATAATGATAACTGTGATTGTAAATTATATATAATTAGAACAAAATATAAATAAAACTCAGTACTCAAGTTATAAAAATATAAAGGTGCTAATGGCTCCATAATTCTTTGAAGCTGCTGCCATAATACTGGAAAAAAGTATGGGCCATTTATCCATTTCACACACACACACACACACTTTAGTACCACCGGCCTTCACCCTGACTCCATGTCAGTGAGCTAAAAGATCTTATCTAACCAGGAGAACATAAGATTATACATACGCTGCTGATCGACGACGAAAAAGGGGCATTGACGGAAAAACTTCTGTCCGTCTGTTTTGAAATTTTTTCGCAATCTGCTCTTCCTTCTTAGTTATGGGTCCGAAGAATATTTCATCATCGCTGGAGCTATCCATTACTCCTGAAATATACCTGTATCATTAATTTCAGACATACAGTATGTTACATGTAATACAAGGTTGCACACTGTAAAGTTTACAGACAATACATTGAACTCCTGGCAGCACTAAACTTCAGACCATATACAGTAGTAAGCTTATGAAACAACAATTATGTTTCAGACTAAAATTCTAAAGTTTGGGACAAGAACACACTAAATTCTTTACAGCAAAGTAAGGTTAATATATAAGACTAACCCACGGACGAATTACCCTGTACAAGGTATTTGTATTACTGTTTATTTTCATGAGTGAGTTCTGATATGGTAATCATTTCTTGTGCAGATATTCTATTTTGTAGATAATTAGGCACCTAGGTAATTTGTCTTCCCGGCGGTAATGAGGCTGCACTCTACTGCAGTGCTTTACCCCAGGCTTGCGGCATTTTCCTTTTCAGCATGACGAGTGAAGGTCGTCGCCGGTCTTATATGGACGTAATTTGTGAATTTAGGGATAAAGACAACGAGACCCTTCAATTGTCCAAAGACCACAGCATTGTTCCTTTAAATAGAGACTGTCCACACTGCGGGAATCCCTGTGCTTTCAGACCTGAAAATTTTTTTTCCAATGTAATAAGAAAATTATCAACAAGAAAAGCAAGAGGTTGGCTCGACGTTTCCTGCCATCACAATAAATCACTCCGCCCCCCGGGCTGCATAAGTGCTGATGCGCCGTATGATCTCACGTCCAGAAAAAGCCTCAAATTACACCATATCATAGGAAGGTCTTTCTGTTTAATATACCGGGTGGGGGGGGGGGGCGAGCCCCCTGGTAAGGAAGTTAGGTAAGGTTAGGTAGGTTTGTTTAGCAAGGTTGGTGAGGTCTGTTTTTCATACTGACAAAGGTTATGTTCATTTTAGAAATAACCATTTATAAGACATTTGCACATACTATAACAATGTCAACTATAAAAAAAACTGAAAATTCGAGTTTTTAAAATCGTTTTCTATCAATTTCGGCCGCGGGTTAATCACGAATAATTACCCAAAGTAAACTGCTAACACAGAAAGTTGCTAATTACAGAGTAAGTTTCTAAAGATGAAGTTTTAGACATTAAAATAAATTACAAAGTAATTTTTATCAGTTGGGGAAAACATTATGAGTTTTTTATCTAAAAAATATAAAGATACCATATTTTTATTTACCTTACTTTTGATAATATACATAGTGACATGATAAAAGAGAGTTACTGACAGCACAGAAAGATACTGACAACATATAGTAGAGTACGTACTGACAACAGTGGAGTGGGTGCACCTAACACGGGAAATTCTTAAACACACAATTTCTTCAGTTTTACCAAACCTTGACGCAAATTCCTGACATCTCCACAAATAAGTATTAGCCCCCAAATTAAAAAGTCACAATCGTTTATTATTCTGCTAACAAGAAGCTTTTGCTTGATTCAACATGTCTAACCGCCCTGCTGTCTCCCCACCACAGGATAACACACTGGCAATAACCTCTTGTGATACTAATGTAGTGGATGACACAATATTTACCTGTAACTCTGTAAGATTCTCCTAAAATATATGCTAACGAGCCGATCAGTGGTGGAGAGGATAAAAGTGTAATGGGTAAACTTGGTGGTTTAAAAGGCGGCGGTTGACGCCACTAACGACTACAACTCGATAACATCCAACAAAGACATTCTTTTATTTTATTCCCTGTAATCTATAAAAATAGTATTTACCTAATTTTAATCTTAGATAAACTTATATATAATGAAATATGGTACATTTTTTATAAAATTATACGCTGAATATATTTTATTTGTCACTATTACTGTAAAATGATTCTCCTGGATGGAAACGAACATCATCAATCATCAGCTGATAATATAAAACCATTTTGAAGAACATAGTGCTATAATATATAACAAGACTTTCTTATAACCCACTTAATTTTCGAAATACACCCAGAGTGAAAAGTTATATAAAGATTCCAAGACGCCAACAGGCCATTTTCCACTGCCCGCCATATCAACGACCCTTTAAACCACCATCTAAAGTCTTTAAACAATGGCCTTCATCAACTGAAAATTTCCTTGCCAGTAAATCTATTTTCTTCGGTCAACTCGTCGGTTCAAGTTACAGTTGGAAGTTTAAAATATATATAAATAGGACTGACTTACCGTTTATAATAAGTTATGGTTTGTTACTTCAATCCTTGTGGGTCGCTGTCAGCTCCAACTCACTATTATATATTATATAGGAAAAAAGAAAAACAGTGTCGCTCACATTAGTTTATTTCTAACTAATGAAAATGTTTTAATATCACAGACGAGAGAAGCTAGACAAGGAAGAGGCCGAGAAATATTAGGTTATTATAAGCTGAAATTCTAAGAACGTTACCCACAGAAGCTTAGACTAAATATAATATATAGAGAGAGACAACAGTACAGTATTTCTTTTATAATTACCTTGTCCAATCAAAGATCTAAATAAAATAAATTAGAACTGTAGTGAGGATACAGTACTCTGAATTTTGTCAACCGAGTTCTTGAAGTAATATGGTGATAATTTATTTGTGAGTTTGTGTTATAGAGTGACTGTAACTTCAAGACTTGTGGCAGGAGAACGGGCGGACACAGTCGACAAGCCAACATACTTATTTTGATAACTTTACCAGGTTATTAAAAGACACTTAAGTACCGAAATTTATATCTACTTAAAAAGAGGACGGAGTGATGAAGTATTTGGTAGATATTTGGAGTGATCTATAAATTATATTACAGCTGTACTTTCAAACTGTATGATTTGAGCGACATAATTTATAAATTATATGACCAGTCTAAAATAATGGACAAATTGTGTGTTAAAGACGTGAAGGACTATTTTTTTTAATATCAACCAAAGCTGACTAGAACGTAGCAATACTTACATAAATACATAAACCCACACATATATGTATGTCTACACACTGTGAACAACATTAAATTGGATAAATGTTAGATGTCACAAATGTACTTTGAGACATATGAAGCTACATCAGTGATGGTAACACACGAGACATCACTACTTCAGTACTTGCACCTCTCAGAATGGCAGTCATTAGTTAGTTTATAAACCTCGAGGAACACATTTTGTATAATAATTATTACATTCTATATTGCCCATGATAGTTTAACCTGACATATGTGTAATGATTCATACATGTGAAATAATGAACGCCTTTCTTACAAGCACAAACAAAACTTCGTTTTGTATTATGTACTACAGGTATTTTCATTATAATTTTAATATCACATTTTCTTTAATCTTTCATTCAGTTGATAAAACAACTTTGGGTGACAACGTTTTTTCTCAGTTTACTGTCGTATTTTGTTCAGCGCGAGATGTTGCTTCTTGTTCCCTTATAGAATTACGCATAGATTTAGTTAGCCTCGTACTGTACTACCAAACACCTCTTGTCATTATTATGGTGTCGATGTTAGTTCCTGGCTGGACACATCCTCGTGGTGGTGAGAGGGACCAGGGGGGGCGGTCCAGCAGGGGCGGCACAGGGTCGGGGAGGAAGTGCCGTCTGGACTTACTCTGGTAGAAGGACTGGAGAACCTCACCGTCCAGGACGTGGTTGTGCTGTTGGAGTGGACACCCAGTTCAGGCGCCACTGTACTCCCGTGGGGTATACTACATAGTTCAGGCGTCGAGTGGGTCCGTAGGGAGTATCTGGTGCTACGAGGACTTGTTCTGCCGCCTTGATCATCACTGGAAGAAGATGACGAGTCCGTGGTGGACTTTGAGGAGTCACAGGTATCTGCTTGAGACACTCTGCTGGTCAAGGAGAGCCCGTGGAAAGATGAACGGAAGCTTTTATTATTCGGTGAACTTTCTGTGGCATGTAGCGTGTTGTCTTTGGTTGTTAGAAACACGGAGAGCTCGTGACTAGATGAAGGGGAATTTCTATTCTCCGGTGTGTTACTGTTGTTCGTTAATCGTGTTGCGTCGGGTGGTGCAGTGTCTCCTTTGGTTACAGGAATATGTGAAAGTAGGCGGATTTCTCCCTCGTTTTTTCTTGTGTGTATGTACCGCGGGCTGACAGGCCAGCTGATGTGGGAGATGTGAGTTTGAGAAGGGAGGGAAAAGTCATATAAACCTGATCTACTGCCAGAGACATGTGTCCTGGAGTTGTGTAGTGGCCTCAGGATTATTGCCGCGGGATCGACCATGGCCACGCCTGATGCTCCGTGTCCAGGTAAACGTTGAGGGCTCCCGTGGCCTGAGGGGGAGGAGACAGAATGAGACCCTCGACATGATGGAGACAATCTAGAGTCAGGTCCTCGGGGCGAGTCCGTCTCCTCACTTTGTTGGTCCGAGAATTGAGGACCCGGGAGGGTGTGGGCGTCCCGAGTGTCTGCCAGTACAATGTTGGGGAGAGTCACCTGGTGGTGGTCGTCACGCTGTGTTGTGGCGGGGCTCCGACACTCACGACATTTCGAGAATTTTGTCAAGTTTGTCACGGTGTCTTCCTGATTCAGGGCAGTAATGGGACTGGATTTAACAGATACTGGATTTGTTGAAGTCTCCCCTTCCGTCCAACATAAACTCGGGGTACAGGTACGCCCTCTGGTGTCGTGGGACATCTTGGAGGTGCTTCTAGAAGACGAATTCCTGGAGGTCAGTGCGGTCAGGCGTCGTGCTAGGGACACTGTGATGTCGCGGATGGCTCTGATGATGGTGATAGGATTCTTAGTTTGTTTTGTTTTACTGATAGTTACTGAATGTTGTGTAGGTGTGATGGGAGATGGCACAATTGGATCACTGTCGCCATTCAGTGATTTGTTATTGCTCCTTTCTAAGGAACTTTTAGCAGTCAAATGGGAAATATTTTTTGATTCAGGAACTTCTGAAGCATATAAAGAGAGTTGACTTTGTGGGAGAGAGTGTTGAGCTGACGGAGAAGTGGGGCACCTGATGAGGGTTCTGGGGCAGGAGGTCCGAGGAGACTCCTCGGGGATAGGGCCGAGTGTTGGGTCCGTCGGCAACCTCTCAGACTCCACGTAAACAATGTCTAGCTTCTCAACATCAATGGCGTCCTTTTCAGACCTACTTCTCGTTTTGTTCCTCCAGTCATCTCTGTTTCCTTCTGGTTCTTCGGTTGCTTCCTCTTCGCGTAAATTCGAAGAAATTTCATCGACTTTACTGTGCGGGGAGGTCACCTGTAGCACCTCTGGTGGCTGAGGACTGATCTGTCGGAGGTTCAACACACAGGGAAGATCAACTTCTATACAAGGCATCTCTGAAAATGAGGAGCTCAAGTTCCCGTGAGTACAGCTGACAACTGAAGAGGCGTCTTGGAGTCCCTGGGTAATGGACACGACCTTGGGAGATGAAGACTTGTCAGAATGTACGCCTCGAGGTTCACCAATATTGGGTTTTGTGTTGGTTTTCTGGCGTTGTTTACTGCCTCGTAGGGAAGAGTTAGACTTGAAGCTGTGTTGGCTGCGTCTGGAAGGCATGGGAGTGTTGATCAGCTCGTCCAGCGCTACGTGAAAATCTGACGCCTGGTGGCGGTGGTGATGATGGTGTGTACTGCGAACTGAACCGACGCCACCGACCAGTTTTCGACTCACTGAGCCACTGGCGAGGGCCGACGAGGACAAAGTGACGGAGCCTCGAGGCCTGGAGATCCTGACGCCCTGGGGCTCGTCGTCGTCATGGGGAAGGGGAACATGGCAGAGCTTCCTGGCGGCACACCAGAGCCAGGCCTTGGCCCCCGCGCGGAAGTGGTCGTTGAGCCAGCAGTAGATAAACGGGTTGTAGCAAACGTTGGACATGGCAAACCAGTGACAAATGAAGAATACTGTGGAGGAGTGACGAGACGGACCCACCGTCACGCCGAAGTCCACCACCAGGTGGTAGGTATTAAGGGGCATCCAGCAGAGGGCGAACAACACTACCACCACCACCAACATCTTCACCGTCTTCTTCTTGGTTTTCAGCTGTAAGGAGAGCTGCTCTTGCGTGGCAGCGCCCACTACTGCCCGCCACCACACCCGCCTCGTCACGCCCACGTAAGCCACGGCAGTCACGCCCAGCGGCACAACATACTGCGTCAGGAAGGTGGCAAGTGTCAGCCACTGGCGGAATTGTAGTGCTGGGGACGGGTAGTGCGCCTGACACCGTGTCAACTTCCTGTACGTGAACACCTCCATCACCTGCAGGGAAAGAACAGCTCGTGTAGTGCACCACCTCACACACCACCAGTCCTGTGTCAAGCCTCACTCCTCATCTCCCTTAACTCTTTATGAATCTCTCTGATGACCATTTATTCATTCTCAACTAGACAGAGAAGAATCTGAACATCAACCAACTATCTGTTTACATTTATCTATTTGTCTGTCTGTTAACTTTATTATATTCCAAACTAAACTGTTTAACTCAACCTTCAATGAAACTGTGACTTAGTTTATGTTGAATACATGATGTTGATTAATACTGTGAATTGTGTGTACTCGCTCTCCCCGCTCTCTCACACCATTCTCTCCCACTCTCCCGCCCTCTCACACCACTCTTCCTCTCACACCATTCTCTCCCACTCTCCCGCCCTCTCACACCACTCTTCCTCTCACACCATTCTCTCCCACTCTCCCGCCCTCTCACACCATTCTCTCCCACTCTCCCGCCCTCTCACACCATTCTCTCCCACTCTTCATCCCTCTCACACCACTCTCCCTCACTCTCACCTGACTGTAGATAGCATAAGGTAAGGAGACGAGGGCAGCTAACAGCCAGACGACAGTGATGATGACAGCTCCGTGCCAGGCTCCGAGACGCGGCTTCAGGGGATGGACGATCACCTGCAGGAGAAGACTGAGGAATGATAACATGGAGCCAGTGTTAAGTCTTCTCCCCCTCACACACACACACACACTCAAGCACTCTCTCGCTCTCTAACACACACACACACACACACACACACACTCAAGCACTCTCTCGCTCTCTAACACACACACACACACACAAACAATTTCACTCTCTTTTTCACCTGGAACATAAGCTAGTTGAGGTTACCTGGCTGGCGTACCTGTGACCTGTGTGACGGACGCTTTACTCAACCTGTGTAACTTACTTGGCGGAGTTGGAGGACGTACGGTACCTTAGGCGTAGGGGGACGTGTACCTGGGACTTGGGACGCCCATATGGGGATCTGAAGAACGTACCTAGGACCTGATAAACGTACCTGAGATCTGGAAACGTACCTGGGACCTAAGGGGACGCACCTGGTAACGATCGAGGGCTATAGCGACCATGGTGAAGGCGGACACATAGACGGAGATGACCTGGACAAAGGGCACCATACTACACATCAACCCCCCGAAGGGCCAGTCGTCTAGCAACACCCTGAGGATTGGACGTATAATTAGAAGTCTTTTTGACAGAATTAGACGTATTTCTGACAAAATTTGACAGAATTAAACGTGTTTCTGAGAAATTTTGACAGAATTAGATGTGTATTTTAACTAGACGTAGAATTAGACGGTTTTTGACAATTGACGTTACTATTATACAAGTGTAATTTTGTAATTTTTTCTTCTCCCCATCTCTCTTTTCGTTCCCTTTTATTCTCTTTTCCTTCTACATTCTCTTTCTCATCTGGCAACACTGTAGAGCTCTCCGAGGCTCTCCGTAAGAAACTAAACTATCCCTACCCTTCTCCTCTACACTCCCTATCCCCATCTCCCCCCTCCTCTTCTCACCTGGCCACGTTGAAGGGGATGTTGAGAGCCGTCATGAGAAGGTCTGAGAGGGCCAGGTTAGCGAGGAAGGTGTTGGTGAGGGTGTGGAGGCGCCTCGTCCTTACCACCACATGACACACCAACAGGTTACCGAAGAGCGAGACCCCGATGATGATAGAGTAGGCCAGGATGATTATGACCATGCGTCCAGGGTCATCACGGCGCCTCACCTGGGCTGTCAGGTCAACTGTGGGAGGTCAGGTCAGTGTTAGTTAATGCTTTGGGGAGAATATTGATGATGTATTGATGAGAGAATAAGATAACTGAATGACGAATACATGATTTATTAACGTGACTCCTGTTGTTATACCCGGGTGCTCAGGTCAACTCGGCTCAGTGTTAATTAATGACTCAGTGATGAGGTCACCAAAACGTTTCTCTGCCTTACTTATTGACCAAGGAAACATGTTAGTAAAAAACAAATCATATTTTTGGGGGAATTAACAAGATGAATTAGAACACTGTTGTAAACGTTTGAAGAAAATAAATAACCCCCGGTTCTGGACTCCAGTTGCACAAATTAACTTAGGCATGGTACAGTTTATCAGTCCACTCACCTGTGAAATTGTGCATGGCGGTGTTGGGCGGAGGGCGGAAGGCGGCGCGGAAGATACTGGCATTAAGGCCCATGATGCCAGCAGCAGCGTCTGGGTTCCTGGCCAGGCCCATCAACACCTTAGAGTAGTACTCCCACCTGGAGGCCAGTCGCTTCTCCAGGCTTATCTCCGTCATTGTCGCGTCTCCATAAGTTTCCTCCAAGTCTTCCATCGTCACGTTCATGTTTGTTGATACTTGCAAATATTGGTCACTTTGTTTCGTGTATTTACTGAGTATACGCTACCTCAGTCCACCATCTTTCTATTTTGGGTATTTTTAGTAAAATGTACTTTCAAGGCCTATGCTCTCATTTTCATGTTGTAAAGTTTGTAAACTCTTATATGTATATCTCTTGTTTCACATATGTTAAGCTCTTAGTTGTATCTTAAGACATTATTAGAGGTTTATCGTTGAAAGCCCCTATGCATATTAAAGGGAAAGATTTACTTGTTTAATTAATATTTATATATCCGGTACCTGTATAAGCCTTGAAGTCATATTTTATATTTATGTAAACGTTGCTTGTAAATGTAACACATCCTCGCATTTGATGATTAATATCACTCAAATGTTGTTGTCTTGATAAGCGCCTTGGCTTGGACTGATTGCGTCTTGTACAATACACCCTGAAACGAGAGAAGCCAAGTTAATATTGCCTAAATCCCAACACAAAATTAATTTTTCACCATGGGTTAAATGTTTCGACTGAATATTATTACAAAACGTCTGTGAATATTATTTTAAGTTTACATTGGTTTCTGGTGGTGTGATTTTGTTCTGGGGGGAGTTGTCTGCCGTGATTTAATCGAATTTATTGTCTAATTTTATTGTCCAAATGTTCAGTGGAACTTTGTGTTGGAGGTTCATGCCCGGTGTGGTTATGTTGTGCACTGTCAGGTGAAGATAGTGTATTCAGCCAAAAGAAGAATCAACTACGCAATGTTTCAGTCTAAAAATTTCTTGCCCATATATATATATATAACTTTTTTTTTTTACGAAAACAACGTATGTACAATATTTCCATAAGAGTTCTATTAGCGCAAATTATATCAGCTACAGCCTTGTCAAGATGTCCTCGTACAAGACGAATATATATATATATATATATATATATATATATATATATATATATATATATATATATATATATATATATAGATAAGAAAACAGAAACTGCAAGATACCGGTACGTACACATTTTTTTATGACGTAAATGATAACAAAGTATCAGGACTTCCCGTAAATTATCTTTGTTACATCCGTATTTTTTCCTCATTCAGAAGGCCAATGATAACGTACAGTACAGTGTTGGGGAAGGACTGAAAATAGCTTGGCTCAGTGTGTAGGCAGCGGAGAGACTGGAGAGGGTTGTGGTGGCAACGATGACTGAAGACGGTGAGTAAAGTTAGTAGCTTGGATCATCACTTGACAATAAATACTGGTAAACTGTATAATGATATAATGAAATCTCATATATTCGATTTTGTCAATATATATTAATATTAGATTTAGTGATATGATAGTCAAGATGATCAAGTGTTAGCTATTTCCAGTCAGGTTTCTCTAAATAAAAACATCCCTCACTTAAGAAAACAATATCCGTCAGGCCAGGTGAGGTGGTGACTGATCCAAAAGTAAAAACAAAAACAAATATTCTGAGTGATGAAACTCCAATTATTTTTCCTACAGCTCTTCGGTCAAAGTCCCAGGTAGCTGATCTGACTTTCTGCCTCATTTACACCCAATTGCAGGGTTTCAATTGTTTCTCTTACTATTGACAAAACATATATTTATTGTTTCTCGCTTTTGATCTTTTTTGTTTACATTTTTGTATTTTTATGGTCCTTTATAATTATTATTAGTGTTATTATTATTGTTATCAATATTATTTTATTTTATATTTTTTATTATAATTTGTATTTACTATGAATTATTATTATTTTAATTTTAATTTTGTTTTATTATAAATTTTATTTACTATGCATTATTATTATTATTATTATTATTATTATTATTATTATTATTATTATTATTATTATTATTATTATTACATTTTCGCCCCCAGGCCCCGAAGTGGGTCAGTGACCTGTGCCCGGGTGGGCTAATCCGTGTTTAAAAAAAAATAGGGATGTGACCAGTTATTACCAGGCCCAAGATGATGAAATGTCACGGCAAAGATTGTTGGACATTCTTACGGTTAATTTTCCAAGTCAGGTGAAGATTAACCCCTCCAGCTTATTCCACGTGATGATTGATTAACTTTACCTAAACTAACCGTAAATAATAATATTATGTTACTGATTAAAAATTTTAAACCCAAATTTAAACTTGTGTTTTTGTGTACAAAGACGTTTATAGTGTGTCTGGCGACACCTTCACTGGAGTCTCACGGCCCACGGGATCAGGCCCTAAACTATACTAAGTTTGTGACAACTTACACTGTTTTAGTAATGATTCAATAGACAACCATATTTACAAATATTTTTTGTTCTTATACCTTCATAAATGTTTCTTGAAGCTGTTCCTGGCTCGTAACTCGTGAGGGAAGGATGTTGTATAATCCTAGTACTGTACGCTGACAACTATCTGTAATATATTAGTAAAAAAATAATGGTATTAATTTTCTCGGTGTAGCTCTGTTGTACCTGATTGCAGTCCTGGGAAGTGTGGGGGTGCTGACAACAATGATCAGCATGGCCATGATCTACAAGCTGCTGAAGGTCACACAGGTCACCAAAAGGTGTCCCTATGGACCCCTCCCACCGGTCCCCACTGACCCACGAACCACGGGAAACAACCACCACCACCAGGAAGGTTGTCCACTTTACCATGGAGTGGTGGCTTCAAATCCCACTCAGTTCTACACTTTGCCCCGCAACATGACTCGCGTCATCTGTAGGGAGCCTGGCACCTCCAGCGGTGGCAATGTGGTCTGTGCCAATACCTGTAAGGAGTCGGAGCGTGACAGCCTGAACAGTATGTACGCCGTTTTAGATCTTTGAGTCGCGCTACACCTTGATGTTCTCCACGTGAAAAGTTCCCACAAATGAGGGAAATCCCCGATGGACACCTAAAATAATTAAATATAAATCAATCTTTATTATGTAATTATATAAAATAAATCTTCGCGTGACAACTGCATTAGATTTCCCCCAGTACAACTCATAATTTTTTTTTTAAGAATACCCGTACAGTAGTGATGTTATTAACATGATTTTCACATATGAGTCGCAGTGAAATATGTACCCCTTATAATCTTATTAGCAGTCAAATTATCAAGTTTTTCATGTAACTTAGTTTAAATTCAGAATAAATTATGTGACTCAAATTGTTTAATTTAAACTTCCATTTCAAATGATCCCCAAAGGTCAGCTGTAAGGAGCCAATATATTGTATACAATCAATGCTAATTGATATGGAAATTAGGGTAATTATTTGTTGTCAGTCTGGCTATGAAGTTTTGTTGATCGAGTTATTACAATTTCTATGTAAATCATCTTTATGTGATTTATAGAGAACCAAGACTTTACGCAGCAATACATTATAATAAGTAATATTGTACTGTATTGCAAGTTACTCCTTGGACAGTACAGTATGCATTGGCCAAGACAGTGTGTTGTGAGCCAGCCTGGCCCCGTACCACGCCTTCTGTTATTGTTTAACTTGTATATTCCGTCTGAGGTGAGAGGTTCTAAATTTAATGATTACCTTTTCATAGTGGTGTTGTTGAGGTTTCAGTTGACTTTAAAACCACGAGGTGTGTCTAGTTACTCAGTCAATTAACTGCCACGTCTTCTTTTTGTTTTGGTCTTTCTGTAATTTATTGTTCAGCATCATATTACCAGTTTATGCTCATTGACAGTTTTTTGTATGGAGGTGTTGATGGTGTAAGTGGCAATAAAGCAGCTGCTGCCGCGCCTCCTAACTGCCTCACCTCACCACTGCCAGATGTGTCAGAAAAGTGTCCCTCTTATCACCTCACCTTTCAGGAACTCCCTCATAAAGCCAATAGGAGGACCAATATAATCTGGTCGTTAGGCGGGAACATCATGTTGACTCGGTGGTTCGCCTTCCAGTATTTTAGTTTGGGGTTGCGTTCGTCAGCGATTGTTTTTCAAATCCGACTTCACACAGCAAGTAGAAATTAATTGGTTTTTATTCCATCTTGTTTCGCCATGACGGTACAACACGTGCAGTTGGGTTAATGTGGATACAAGTTGTGTATTCTCATCAGTTTCCTCGCTAAGTTGGTGAAGACGCAGATCATTTTAAGGGAAAAAAGTGATTTATTATTAAAGTTATCAGTAAATAACTAAATATAACAGTAACTTCATACGCTAGACCGAATTGATCTAAATTTTAGTAAGTACTTGTTGTTAACGACCCTGGCCTTTGAAGCGTCTAACAATGGTGAATACAGTGGTAAGTAAAGGCCTCAGTGACGCTCAAGACCACATTCAGATTCAGGAAATGATTATCTTAATGGATAAAAGAGGTCTCGAATCTGACCCTGTGTTCCCGTATATACTGTAACTACCAGAACAGGGTGGGGTGTTAGGAGGTCCTCGGGCAGGGTGATGTGTTGTGTTGTTGGTTAGTGTCTTTTGTATAGGACTTCCAACCTTCATGCCAGTGTGGGTAATAACAGTGTTCACACTAGGATAAACTCACGACTGCATTGATTTTTACTTCCCCGCATCACAAGCTGAGAGCCGTTAGTGATGCTCCCAGCCCCACTCACTTTGTAGCATTAGCTGTGATGCTAATTTTTACAGTGGACCTTAACAAATAGAGACAGATACAGGGAAAACTATGAAAATATTAACATAAAGATGGAAGAGTAGTGTAGCAGGCTTGTCTGCCCTGGGCCTGGATGTACTCGTATACTGTATTGTTTGTATGCCACAGTTACCCGTGTACACTAATTCACATCTTCTCTTCACCTCTCCTGAAAATGTGAATTACTACAAGATAGCGCTTGGGGTCTTCCTACTGGTTATCGACACATACTGTACATGGTCTATTAAGACAATTATAAAAAAAATATTTCAACCACAGATCCTTAATCAGCGTTTCGAGGGCGACATATACTAAGATTCTGACTTGTAATTCTGAGGGTCCAAAATATTTAATTTGCTCAAAATCTCAGTATAAGTCGTCCTCGGCACGCTGATTTAAGAAGAATCTGCGGTCAAAAAATTGAAATTCTGATTATTAAATGCCTTCATATCCATTAGCATAATTAATTATAAAAATTCATATAATCAAAGGTGCTATTAACTTTCACGTGTGTTTTCATATTACACCCCCCCCGCCCCCCCTCCCCCCCGCCCCACACCTCTTGATACGAGTATGTGAAATTATCATAAATATATCTTGTTGTTTAGTCGATACCTGAATTATGTATTAGGGGTTTGTGTATATTGAAAGGGGGGCTGGAGATGAATGGTGTGTGTGTGTGATGGAGTATAGAGGACACCATTACAAAGAGCGGGTGCTGGTGTTGAGGGGCACAACTTGGAACTTCAACAACTGTAATGAAACACCACAGTTTATTAATGGCTAGTGTGTGTGTGAGTGTGTGTGTGTGTGTGTGTGTGTGTGTGTGTGAGTGTGTGTGTGTGTGTGTGTGTGTGTATTTTCTATTCTTGCTCTCATAAAGTTTACATACTGCATAAGAGATAGTTATTAATTGTATTCACTATTATTTGTTCTAATTCAGTAAATACAACACTCGATAGAATAAATCATCAACCTCATCACTCACCACCACTATCACTGCTATCATCAACACCACCGCCAGTACTGGACAGCTCCCAGTAGGACAAGAAATATGGTTACACTTCTGAGAAGAGGCGTTGTCTATCATAGAGAAAAAAGTTTATTGTCCTTTGTTAGATGGAGGGTCTCTCCCTCTCTCTCTCTCTCTCTCTCCCTCTCTCTCTCTCTCTCTCTCTCTCTCCGGCCCCCTGACTCCTCATCGTGTAAAGGACCATTAGTGTTTCCTTTATGGCCCAAAACAGTGGGTATTAGACATGCCTTAGCGCCGCGGTATATAGCCACTTAAGCCCTGACGAGATCTCTGTCCCAGATCCCCTCATCGCTTCCCAGTGGATAACACTGTAGTGGATTTCTCCCCTACAAACGCTGTTTGTCGCGGAGTAGCCGACCCCACGAATTCCCCAGTGTATGCCTCGTGGTCTAGGTCAACCAGCGCCGCCATACATGACGGAGGTCAACTACTAAGCCACGCCTACCCCCGCTATTTAAGACCTGACCTCGTGGTGACCTCTCTCTTCTTCTAGCTACAGCCGCAGCGAGCTACACCTCCTCCTCCTCCTCCGCCGCTGCCTGGCGGCCCTCGCTCCCGCCGGCGAGCATGGCGACCCACAAGCTGTCCTCCTCTGAGCACCCTCACCAACCAGCTCTCTCTACATCACGCTTGTAACCACATTGTGAGTTTCCTTTCTCCATCCCATCCTGACTGCGAACCAAAACATCCCGTACCCCACAACACCATCTTCCCCTTCCCACTGTTCGCCTTCTCTCCCCTGAACCACGAACAGACTTTTGAATCCGAAATATTTATGGACAATTAATGTAGCTATCAGTCTAACTGCTTCGGGTTCACGAGTCTGAATCTCTTCTATAGACTGTGTGTGTGTGTTTGTTTTACCTTCCATTGTTTTAAATTTACGTATATAAACTAGCGATCAGCTGTTTCCGAGATGTCCAATTCCTGTGTTTAAATCAGCTGACTGGTGTCGGACCACCACGCGACGTGCCAAACACTCGATTTTGTGGCTCAAGAATCCTCAACACACCAAACAAAAGAATTACACAGACTTGAACATTAACCTTTTTAGCGACACTGTAGAAGAGTTATATGTAGATTAACATTATGAATTTTAACATGTTTGTGGTTGTATACGCGAGGGTAGAGCATTTTAGGGAGCAGTGTAGTATCCCTGGGAATGTAGGAACACATGTAAACATGGATCCATTAGTACATTCCACGATTTGAGATTCAAGAGGAATTCGATCTAATATCTGGGGAATCCGACGGTGTATACGAATGTCTTTTGTTTGATATAGGTTGCCTTTATTAAGGGGTAGATTTCGTATCGTCTCTTTTATTTAATCTTGTTTTAATATCCTTAGCGAAGAGGTGAAGGTACAGTCACCCAAAAAAGTCCTGTCGCGAACCATGAACCCCGAGATTCAGACTCTTGAATCCGAAGCATTTATGGACAGAATAATGTATCAGTGTCTACTGCTTTGGGTTCACGAGTCTGAATCGTGGTTCGCGACAGGACTCTTTTGGGTGACTACAGGGGTGGAAAAAAGGGGAGGGAGAGGAAAGCTGCGTGAATATTTGTTTGTAAATTGAAAGAAAGGTAGGGCCAGAGGGAAGATTGGGAGAAGAGAAAGATCAAATATTGGCCATATTTATCTTACTGAGTGAAGAGTTAAAGCATTTGGAGAGTTTGGGCTTATTATTCCTGTGTATATTGACCACAATTTCAATTTCATTTCATACTTACTGGAACGGAGCAAAACGGTATCTCTAGCGAGAATTTTTCCACCATCGTTCTTTCGTTCTTTCACAACAAAAATAGTGTGGCTCAATATATTATTAAACTAAACTAACTCATACTGCCTTAAAATAGAGTGAAGACTGAAGCGGTATGGATTATATGAAATTAATCTACTTCAATGATATATTTTTTATTATTCCCTTAATGATGATTGTTTGTTTAGCAATACTCTTTTTTATCAGATCCCGTGAGTCTAGTTAATACCCTTGTTCTTAGTGGAGAGAAAAATAAACAAAACATTCCCGGATCAACTGTGTTTTTGGCACGCACTGCAGCAGCTGAACTTAACCTGAGTCTCCCGCCTGTCTAATGCGTCGGGATAACATTAATGCATGTGTTAAAGACCTGTTCAGTGTCATTCGGGTCGTTGACAATAGATTTAAACCAGGTATTCTGTTTTTATGAGCTTGTTTACTTTCTTGATTTTTCTCGTGAGTGCTGAGGGGGGAGGCCAAGGAGACCGACGTGGCCATGTGTGTTGTGTGACATTTGGCACCAATATTTACACCAATGTTGCCTTGTTTCTACTCGTACCATTCCCTTGGTCCTATTGTCTCTGTTCTTGTACTTCCCAGTAAAATTCAAAATCGAGTGATATTTCTTTATTACAGGTCCAGTTACCTTGACATTTATTATGTATTTTTATTATTGCTGTTACTACTACATAAGAACATAAGAACATAACATAAGAAAGTGGGATACTGCAGGAGGCCGACT